CGTATTTTGGCGGCGGTCGTGACGAAGTGTGGCCGTGGGCCCCAGCAGCGGCAATCGGCAGTCTGTCTGATACGGTGCCGGTCCTGCAGTGCTCCCACCGATTCAGGAAGACCGCGGCACTCAGCGGAAGTGACGCCAGGAAGTTTGGCAGTTGAAAAACTGGGGTTAGCAGGAAGTGAATGGTGGGTCATTGTCCAGGCCAGGATTCGCACGCGCCGTGTTTGGTTTTTGGAACGCTTTATGGACGTGTCCCTGTCATCTTATCATGCTGCAGCCTGCATAGGAAAAGGGCTACGTTAACGCCGTTCATGTTGCTATGCCAGGTTTCCAACGAAACGTCCGGGGCCAGGGCCGGCAAGCAGGTGGGCGCAAAGGTATGAAGATTACGCGGCGACATGCCTTTGTGTCTCAGTCTGAGAATGCGTATTGTAGCTTAATTTGCATTAAAGCATTGCTGCCTGCCACTGTATATAAAATCCGCTTGCGTGGTGGACCCGTCAACCGGCGTGGCACCTGCACTGCCCTTACATTTGGTCGTGATATGTTTATCGTATGTATCTTCCAGGTTTTGTGCCGATAAAATTCAGTCCCTTTCCTTCTCACGCAATTCGCCACTTGACTGTGCTGGCGCACCAACGGTTCTAGCGCCTTCACATAGCTTATGCTCTTTGAGACACGCTTGGGTGTCTTTTCCGCCGAAGAATGAGTGAGCGTTTTTGAAGTGATAAAAGTGGGTCCGCTGTGGGTGCATAACCGCTCACTCTGTGGCGTTTTCCTGCACGTCGACGTGTGTTTTAGCATTGCGAAGTTCTATTACAAAAACGCTTTAGAATGGGGGTAAAATGCGCCGCTTTTAGAAGGTCTTATTCCCAGCAGTGGGCGGTAAATGTCATTATCTTTTTGCAATGGACTGTAGCTAACCACGCTCAAAATGGAGCTGTAAAATTGGTAGGTGAATTGGGGTACACAAGGTATAGCTAATTTACCTTAGCACCACAGGAGTGATAGGTTTGGAATTTTTGTTAGAATTAATTATTGTACTGTACTTCATAACACACGTTGACGATTGTGCTCGACTTCAAAACACACGTTGGTGATGGAGGCATCTAGTACAGAAAAGGCCTAGGTATCTGAACATCGTGACACAAGTATCTTAATATCATGACATGTGTATCTGAATGTCGTGGCACAGGTATCTGAATGTCTTGACATAGCTATCTGAGTGTCGCTGAGACAACAGGAAGCTCTGCGGTGAATTTAATCGTCAACCCTTCCGCAGCTGTAGCAGTGTAATGGAGGGACGCCATCGACTAATGCGATCTGATGACGTGGGTTGCCGGTGTAGGGTCAAGCCGACTGGTTCCTGGTCGGCGTGATCGCAATCTGCTTACCGCATCAGGGAAAACCGGCACAAGATACCTGTTCGTTTGTGGCAGTCGTGGATGTGCGCGAAATTGGCGCACTTGGCGGACATCAGCAGCCAGGAGTGTCGATATGTACATGTCGTGCTCTACTCCCCCCTCCCCCCTCCCCAGGGCCATTTGGGCACCCCCTAATATGGGCTGGGGCCATGTAGTATTTTTCCTCAAGTGCTACCAACATCGAGAAACGAAGTTAATAAACACTAACCTTGCATGATTTGGGCATCATTTGATTGCCATAACCAGTATACAGCTGAAACAACTTGCAATGAATGATACAAAAAATTAAAAGTTCCCCGTTATTCGAGTTAAACATGCGTAAATTCGTTGAGAAACAGACTTTTTAGGGAGTGGAGGCTGCCGGGCCATCGTCTATACCAATTCATTTGCATAAATCGAAGCCCCTATCATTAGTTGCCACCATGTTGAACACATGCCGGCTGTCTCCGAACGTGAGCAGTCTCTGGCATCGGCGTAGAGGCGCGCAGTGCTCGTGGGTGAGTTCTGGAAGGGCCGAGGCATGGTGAGCTCGCGACGCGGACCATAACCTTAAGGTGAGCACGCGACGCGGACCATAACCTTAAGGTGAGCACGCGACGCGGACCGTAACCTTAAGGTGAGCTCCCGACGCGGACCATAACCTTAAGGTGAGCACGCGACGCGGACCATAACTTTAAGGTGATCTCGCGACGCGGACCGTAGCCTTACCAAGCTCCTCATTGGCGCAACAACCGGAAGGATACCCCCCATGCAGGGCAGCTCAGGTCATGTCAGACGTCTCGGCCAGGTGATTGGACACGCGCGCCAGCTGGGTGATTTTGTTATTGCATGTCGACTTCCATCCTTTGTAAGAGAAGTTGTTAGGCGTACCACCGAGACCACATAGAAATGGGGCAAGTAACCGAATATTTTTAGGGAAACGATATGACTGAAAATGCCGCTGGGAGCAGGAGCAATGCAACCACAGATGTAGCAATGCGGAGAAGACTAAAATATACACATGAACGCTCACCATTGAAATAATTGCGGCAATAATAAAGTCGCCACGTTGTGTCTAGTAGGAACACCACAAGTGGGTGTCGGCGACTGCCGGCGGTCACTGTCGGGGGGGGGAAGGGGGGCATGCTGTCCGCTACATGGGCATTCCGAGAACGTGCTTTTACTTCGAACGAGGTGCGTCAGATCTTACCTTTTCAGACCTTATTGGTGATGATTCTCGCATGCTTGACACCGGACAACTGTTTTCATTTTTGAGAAACGTAGGATTCACAGCCATTTATGCACCGCGGTAAACACTTAGCTGTTATGGGCGCAAAATGACCCTAGAAATCGCTGGAAGTCGACGCGCCCTAAAACCCCAATCATCATCATCAATTGGCATGACATCCTCATAGCGTTGTTTCATTGGACCAGGTGGCGCACGCGCATGTGCCCAGATGTCTGCCGCTCCAACACGTTGCTTTCATCCACCTTGCTATCGGAGAGAACTGGACTTTCGTAAGCTGTGAACGAAATGCGTTTTTCCTTGCTTCGCGGATCTTGCTCAGAGAAACGGCGCTGCCAAACACGCCACGAAAGAAACCTGGTATTGTGCTAAAGTCAGCCATGGCGTGCCTCGCAATGACGTTATCCTTGTCCCCCCCCCCCCCCCCCTCCCTCTCCCTTCGTAGTTCACAGACCAAGATAGGAGCTTTACCGAACCGGCGCCGCATCGGTGCGAGAAGCCACACTCATGATTCGCACCTGCAGCTCCCCAAAACCGGTCGCTTCTCGGGGAGTGGTCGACACTCGTGTGCCACGCCCTGGCGGGCTCATCCGGCACGACCACTACGCCCTGGCACTCGCCGCACCTCCACCTGCCGTCCGGCCGCCGCGTTTTTCCCTCCCAGCTCTCCCGCCCTTCTACGGCGACAGCGGGAGTGCCGGGCAACGCCCCGTTCGTGGGCATGTGTCGTGCTCGCCTACCGCCCTGTGTTACTGTCGCTTGCCGCCGTGTGTCACCCTCGCCCGCTGCCGTGTGTCACCCTTTCCTGCCGCCGTGTATCATCCTCGTCTGCCGCCGTGTGTCACCCTTGCCTGCCGCCGTGTGTCACCCTCGCCTGCCGCCGTGTATCACCATCGTCCGCCACTGCAGGCCGGGTGTTTATCCGGCACATCGGCCCGCGTGTCTGAGCGATGGCTCTCCCCCCCCCCCCCCCCCCCCCCCCCGTCCCTGGCCGGCCCGGTCCGCGGCCGTCGGCTCTCGGCGGCGTTCAGGCGCTGTTTATGTTGCCGGGAGAGGCCCATGGTTGAGTTGCCCGGCCAGGCTCGGTTTCTGGAGCGGGGAGTCGGGTACGGCTGCCGCTGCTGCGGTCGCCGGTGTGCGGTCGGCCAAGCTCGGCTTCTGGAGGTGGTCTCGGGGTCGGCTGCCGCTGCTGCGGTCGCCGGTGTGCGGTTGACCAAGCTCGGCTTCTGGAGCGGGGACTCGGATACGGCTGCCGCTGCTGCGGTCACCGGTGTGCGGTCGGCCAAGCTCGGCTTCTGGAGCGGGGACTCGGATACGGCTGCCGCTGGTGCGGTCACCGGTGTGCGGTCGGCCAAGCTCGGCTTCTGGAGGTGGTCTCGGGGACGGCTTGCCGCTGCTGCGGTCGCCGGTCTGCGGCCGGCCAGACGTCCCTGTTAGGTGGTGCCGAGGCTCCCAGGCGGTTCTGTGAATGGGTGGCGGTGGCGGCGCTCCCCGCAAACTGGCTTAACTCCGTCACGTTCAGCGAACACCTGCGACCGGCGCACGGTGTATCATTTCAAGGGCAGACGCTCATCTGTTTTGGCATGACCCCTTGATATGTCTTTGTGGTACTTTAATGAAGGTGCATGTTTTGGGGAGCCTATGCCATCGCGGTCACCGAAGATGACCATCGCGCTACAGCGTGGTGGTAGGCTTGGCAGAATGCAAACATTACAGGGTTTGTGTGCAACTACAAAGCTCTATGTGCAACGTCCATCATCCGACAGATAGTTCATGGCATGTTGCGCTGGTGGCTGTCCTTTCCACTTGTAGCCGCTTTCAATTGGCTCTGTCGCACCCTATGCCCATAACAATCAGCACCAACGTGTGGAGTCAGAACCCACTGGATACCAGCCCAATCAAATGAAAGGGGGACGCGGAGCTCCCCGCCTTTCACGCCGACTTGACCTGGACCGACTAGACATGTGGGTGTTCCAGACCCGTGTGCCATCCTCCGCTGTCCGGTGTTCCAGACCCGTGTGCCTCCTCCGCTGTCCGGTGTTTCAGACTCGTGTGCCACCTCCGCCGTCCGGTGTTCCAGACCCGTGTGCCAACTCCGCTGTCCGGTGTTCCAGACCCGTGTGCCACCTCCGCTGTCCGGTGTTCCAGACTCGTGTGCCAGCTCCGCCGCTCGTTGTTCCAGACCCGTGTGCCAACTCCGCTGTCCGGTGTTTCAGACTCGTGTGCCACCTCCGCCGTCCGGTGCTCCAGACCCGTGTGCCAACTCCGCTGTCCGGTGTTTCAGACTGGTGTGCCAACTCCGCCGTTCGTTGTTCCAGACCCGTGTGTCCCAAGTCGATTTCTCACTGTTGCAGACGCCAGCGGCTCGGCCGACCCGCTGCCATGCTGCCCCTGCGTGCCGCCGTCTGCCTGCTGGCACTGGCACACGCGGGATCCGGAGCCGGAGACGGAGCCAGGGGAGCCGGGCCGGAGCGGAGCGTGCTGGACGTGCAGCCGCCCAGCGAGGAGTTGCGCACCGATGGCTCCAACGACCTGGGGTTCAGCGCCGACCCGCGGCCCGCGCCCGCCACGGAGGGGGCCGGGGCCGGGGCCGCCGTCAGCCGACTGTGGGGCGTGGCTGACGCCACCGCCCGCGCCGGCCGCCTCTTCCTGCACACCATCGACAAGCACGCCTTCCATGGCCAGGTGTTGCGGTACGAGGTGAGTGGGCGGGGGCGAACGCTGATGTTGGGCGGCGAGGGCGGCGCTGGTGCTGCGAAGGCATGAGATCGGCAGCAGGGATGGAGCTCCTTTGGCCAATCAGCATACGGAGTGTGCAGCGAGGAACTTTTGCACTCGGGTTTGCTCTTCCTTTGTCCAAATTTGGGGATGGCATGTGGCGTTAAAGCATTGCACGCTACAGGCATTCATTTGTTATTTTCCGAGTCGTGTTATTGCGCGCGTCCCACATGGATCGAAGCAAGACATACTACTTAACTTCCAACTTGGTGGACCTCGCCGTTAAAATACCACACTTCACGTTAGGAGGAAACAAGATGCCACAGATCTGTTCGCAAGAACGGGCCGCAATTGCAAGGAGTACCGTAAGTTGAGGACCCGAGACGAATGTAACTGGCCTGCGGTCGCTGTAATACCGTTGTCCGTTCGGTGGTTCACAAGCTCTCGGCGGTTTCGCAAGAGCATTTTTACAGCCTGCACAGTGCACGTTGGTTTAATTGTGCTTGATGCCGATCGCAGGACGATCCCACAAGGATAAAACGCAGTGTGCGTTCATTTTACCCTAACCGGCGTTATAAATCTCAGACGTCGAGCATGAGTACGGAGCAGGTGTGGTTTTTTTATCTGTTGGCGCACATTGCGTGGTGCGTGCCGCATTGTACCTTTTCGACGTTCTGATCGGTTTGACGTGATCTCGGCTTCGGCTCTGCGTGTTGAAAGACAATGCGCCTGGTGTTTCTGCTTCATTGCGTGTTTGCCTCACTGATTTGGAACACGTGCATTTCTTTATGGTCAGATCTGACAGGAATTAATTTAAAGTGTCATGTCTTCAAAACCGTCTTGCTAGAACAACAATGCTTTCTTCTTTTCTTTACAACAAATATTTATAAGATTTTCGTCAGAAGCCGTGACATTCTTTCACGTTTATTTTCAGTATTTACTTCGTTCATGACCCATCCTTCGCGCGGAATTTTCGAAACCTTTCACTCAGGTATTGGAAGCAGCTCATTACTATATACTACCGCCACCCCGCCCCCCCCCCCCCTTCTGTCGGGAATCTACCCCTCAGGCCGGGAAACTCAGATTGATCTGTAACACTAAGTTTGCACATGAATCTAAGCATTCGTAGGTAGTCCATTAAAAATGCTCGATACTATAATATTCCGCCTGAAAATACTATTCGCCCACTACACCCGACCACATTTCAGTACCGTGCCAGTGCTGAGATGACGGCGGAGCATTCAGCTCCGTTAGCGATGCATGGATGTATGCTCACCCCCCCCCCCCCCCTCCACGTGCCACGGGAGGGCGTCGGCGTGCTTTGCTCCCGCCGCATGTGGCGCCTCGTCCCTGCCCAAATATGGTCGGGCGTCGGGCCAGGTTTGTGGGCGACGCGCGGGCCTCGCATCTGTGCCCCTGCAGTGGCGGCGGCGGGCAGGATCTTTCCAGCCGACTGGTTGTGAGGGTGTGGGGATCAGGCCTGCACTTGCTGCCGGCTGTCCAGCAGCAGCCAGCTATGGTCGGCCGACGTACACCGCCCTCTGCCTGCACCGTCTCGTGGCAGGAGCCTGCTGTGCAATGTCGGCTCTTGGTGTTCTACGGCCCACTGTCCACCACCCACTGCACACTTTCCTCTGGCTACAGCTCACTTCCCGCCGCCCCCAGCCCACTGCCCTCCTCCCCTCTTCCCTCCTCCCTCCGCCCTCCACCCTCCGCCCTCCGCCCGGCCGGCGTATGAAACAGAGCGCCCTTTCACCGCGCGTCGCTGCAGCGGAGGCGGTGGCCAGGCCGGACCGGGCCGTCTGCAGGCCGGGGCCGCCAGCAGCGCGCGCCTGCAGCCCCGGAGCGGCTCCGGGCCGTGTCACGTGTCGGCACGCAACGCGAGCGCCGGCCGTCGGCGCCGCGCCCCGTGAATCATGGGCTACGTGACGCGATAGGGTGCCCCTCTCGAGTCCCGCCGAACGTGCTGCCGTTCAGGCCACACGCATCAGATACGGGTGTTTGTCATTCGCGGGAGCGCAGCGGAGCTTTTGGGCGAGTTCGTCGACCGAACGGCCCCGCTGCGGTGGACGTTTGATCTTGGTCGGCTTGAGCCCAGCCGGCTTATCTGGTGCACCAGGAGCGTTCCCGGGGAGCAGATGAAGTATGACAATTACAATGCAGCCACAATTGTGATACGTTGAATGGTATGTTTTATGGGGTAAGGTTAGCGAAGGCTTAACACGACTCACCGGGGAGTGCCTATTGATTTCTTTACTCGTGTCGATGACTGTATTTGTTAGGCGTCCACGCACTTACCTCCGAAACATCGGATCATCTCGACAAACGGTGATACCTGGCGGCGATAACATCGCTGTGTCCCAAACCACTAGCTATGCGCACGTACCGTTCGCCGTCAGCTAACTCTTAGCCGAAGCCGCCGGTCCATGTGAGCCCGCGTGCGAAATAATGACGCCTCAGGCGCGGGTCGGGCTAGCCGAGGGCCCTTCCCTTCACTGCAGCGTCGGCATCCTGTGCCCAGGGCGCCGCCTGCCCGGTGCTGAGCGGCAGCGGCTCACCACTGCAGCCGCAGCGGTACTGGACAGTCTTCGGTGCTGCCTGCGGTCACACAGCCCACCTGTTCACCTGCGCTCTTTGGCCATGTGACGGGGCTTTGGTCACGAACACACCCCGGGGCGGGGGCGGATGGTCGTAGTCCCGGTCAGATTACGGGACGGGGGAGGACGGGTCTGATAATATCCGTAGTCCCCGTCAGTTTACGTGATGGGGGACGTGGCGAACAATAGTCGTAGTCTTCCTCCGTCAGATCACGGAACAGGGGAATGGAGCGAACAATGGTCGTAGTCCTCCGCCAGATAACGGGGCGGGGGAGCGAGGGATCGGACACTGGTCGTAGCCCCCCCCCCCCTCCCCCCCCCCGTCAGGTTATGTTCGCCGGAGACGGCGTTTCGTTCGCGCACTGAAAACGCAAGCACAAGCCGATGACCCCGCCCCCCCCCCCCCCCACCCCCTGGCGGCAAAGCATCGAGTGTGGATCGTGATTCCGCGGCGGTTTCAGACTGGCACGCCTTCACAGAGCGGTGAGAGAGACAAACGCAGCGTTGTGGTGTATCAACGGCGGCGGCTCCGGCTTTGATGTGGTGTAGACGCCTGCCTGGCACGTAAAGTATCCTGACGACGGGAAGCGCCGTCTCTTGGTTGTTGTCGTGCCCGGACTCAGCCGAAGAGAGACCATCACGTCCGTGGACGGGTGAAACCTTCCCAAACATCCGGCCCCGCGCCCTGCGTGACCCCGGGTCACGCCCCGTCACGTCGTGTCACGTCTTGTCACGGCGCGTCGCCCCGTGTCAAGTGCGTGGCAGACGACGAAGCATGCGCGGGCGGGCTGCGCTGTGCGTGGCGCGTTGAAATACGAGCGGGCTCATGCTGGCGACGTCAGGACTCAATGCTGTCCATTAGATGGGCGTCCTTGCGGGCTGCGTGACCGCAGTCCGCGTGATCACATAAGTGGGCGGGGAGATCACTGTTGGCGACAGCTCTCGGTGATGGCATCCCCAGGCTGACGTCATGGCCGGAGGACCCTGGTCCGCAGCACTCAGAGGATCGGCTTGCACCGCCGGCGGACGTGTGGAATGCAGCCTACACGCCGTCGCACGGTCGGGCTGCGTTTGTAGTCATGGCAACGGCTAGCGTCTATCGGCCGCGGCGCTGGACGACGCGCGTGCTCGTTTATGTTCCCGTACGAGTGGTATGCGTCTGGTGGGAGGGCTGGGATGGAACTTATCATGCAATGACAGGCTGATCTAAAACGTTTGATAGTCCCAGCAGTATGCATGGCTAACTTGTTTGCGATAAAAATGCGGTGTTTTGCACGGTACGTTGCGCGCCAAAAGTAACAATCAGAGAAAGTGTTGCAGTCCTTTTTGGTTAGCACTCCAGGAATAGTAATCCGCGTTTATGACGCAGAACCGACAAGGTTTGGTGTCTGAATGCTCTCTGGTTCTTGGTGATATACTATGGGAAATTCAGAAAAAAGGCAAGGGGCTCGAAGGAAGTGCTCCACGTTTGTATGGGGTTTTGAACTGAAATGTCCATAGTGAGGACCTTTCGATGCTGCTCACAGTCGTGCTCCTTTTAAAACTCAAAGCCCTCTAGCTACTGAGCTTTAAGACCGCGAAAATGTGGAAGAGTAATTTGGGAAAGTATTTGGAGGTCAGCTTGGCATTTATGGCGCCATAACAACGCCATTTAAATGCTGCCGTTCCATAAGCCATGCGGTTATCAAGGCCGAGAAAAACATGATTTTCGAGTCATTCATATCTGGTGTTCGTGAGCGCGATTTGCAGGTATAACGGCCGTCAGTTGGCTCTCAGTGCTGTGCAGGATATGATGACACATTAAACACTGACGTATCTAAGAGCACATCTACTAAACAGAGGAGTCGTGTTGTCTAGAGCAGTTCTTTCTACTTAAAAGTCTACTAACAGTTATAAGTGAGCTGGTTTCATCATATTTGATGCTTACTTCAATGTCTTCAAACGCGAATCATCTCCTTTAGGCGCATTTCAGGTCGCCTTTCATACAATATACCCGCGTCACTATAAGCACTGAGGCTACGTAGAGCTTCCGCCAAAAAAATAGGGGGTCGGTGCCTCCGTGCTCCGTCACTCTTTGTTCTTGCATTTGTGGTTCGTATCCCTTACGACCCGAAAATCACGTGTGAAGACCCGTGTCCATGACGGGATGACGTCCACAACAGGATCGGACCCCTGACCTTGCCCTGCAGGCGGCTGGACGGGCAGCCGTCGGCCGCTGACGAGGGCTCGTCCCGACATGGCATCTGTCGGGGCGTGGGATGGCTCCGGCCTCGCTCCATGCACAGTGTGGGACCGTCGCACAGCTGGCGGGCAGATGCCGTGCAGCCGGCTCGCGGCCGTGGCGGCCGGGCCCGAGCTGTCGTGTTTCATCAGCCGCCGCGGCCACCGCCCGGCGCCCGTGGGTCGTCCGGAGGCGTTTCGTCACTCGAGAGGTGGCGCGCGGCGGGCGGGTGCCGATGTGTTTGCTCATGCCGGCTGCGAGAAGCTGTCGGCGCTCCCCGACGGCCGAGGACGGAGCTCCTGCTGATGGGCCGCGAGGAACATGGACGGATGTCGGACGGGTGCTGTCACCGCAGGCACTGGCACTGGCACTGGCATTGGCATTGGCATTGACATCGGCACTGACGTTAGTATTGACATTGACATTGGCATCGTCACCACCGTCACCGTCACCAGTCACCGTCACCAGTCACCGTCACCAGTCGTCAGTCGCCAGTCACCAGTCACCAGTCAACTGTCACCAGTCACCAGTCACCAGTCACTCGTCACCGTCACCGTCACCGTCACCGTCACCGTCACCGTCACCGTCACCGTCACCAGTCACCAGTCACTGGTCGCTGTCGCCGGTCATTGCCACCGTCACGGGTCGCTGTCACCACCAGTCACTCTCACTGCCACTTTTATCGTCACTGACACTGGTACTGGCACTGGCACCGTCACTGGCACTGGCACTGGCACTGGCACCGTCACAATCGCCGTCGGTTTGGGTTGTCGCTACGGCTACGCATACAAACCCTGCGGGATCTTCCCGTGGTGGCGTTCATAAGCCTGCGGCAGTGGAATACAGCATCGTTTGTCTTGCTTTGTCGATAGGTGTAGGTGAAGTGGCGGTGTTCAGCTCCCGGTGTTTACAGAAATGCCCGTCCATCACGGGAAGTCGCGTATCGCCACCTGAAATGGCGCCACCCAAAGCCACCTGAAGTGTTACAGGCGAAGTCCGTGGGCAGGGTATGGATGTCATCCAGTGCCCATGTAGCAAAATAGACGCGGTGTGGCACAGTGCGAATGATGCAAATTATTTGCCATCAGAATGAAAGCAAAAGCGTGTATCTCCCGAACGAAAGAGAACTGGTCATGACATAACAACAGGCTTACAAGGACATGTCTGCTTGGGATGTTTATAGCCCAATGGAGACGACGTGGCTCAGCTCTCGAATTAACTTTAATCGGCTGGATGAAGACGCTCACATTTGTATTGAAGATGTGGGAGGCCCAGCGCGGCTTCTCTAGAACTGACTCTTCTTGGGAACTTGACCATACGTTGTTGGAGACATGTCGGTGACAGCCCCTCTCCCTGACCGCAGGAGAGCGAGCCCTGCGACGCTGGGACCCATCAGGCCACTTCCTCCGGCCTCTTGAGACGTGTTGCTGGCTCTCCGATTCGAAGTGCACCATGTGTCAGATGCTCACAGCGTGATGAGTTGACCATGGACTCGGATGTGTTGCATGGAACCGCCCTCTCGAACGTCTCCACTCCATCTTGGCTGGCAATAACAGGGCGGATCCTGATACCAGTGCACAGCCAGCATAAATAAGCGGTGGGGAAGCCCTGGCTCACAACGTGGAGATCCGCTGCGCAAAATCTGGCCTCTCAGCGCAAACCGTAACTTGAGCATCGCCCGCGACCGCAATCGGTCGGGCTCGCATCTACTTTGGTTCCATGTGTTTTGTGGGTCAGTCCTTCAGTCGTATTTCGTGACTCAGTTCCAGCACGTACCATCCATGGAGTGGGAGGTTCTCTGGTGAACGGAAGTCTCAAACTCGTTTCCATCTGTGTCCCGGCTATGACTGTCATGCGTGTTCTAAAACACGTTCGCGTTCATTACTGCGCGCGATGGGTCCAGACTTGTCTGGGCTTCTCCCACATTTTGACTCAGTCGAGCGATGTTTTCGCTCGCCTTCCCCGCCCTCTCCCTGGGCGAGGTAAAATATGGCAATCGCTTTGGCTTCTCGGACTTCGCAGGTTGCTCTGTCTAGAACACTGCACACCCGCTGAAGGTGAAGATGACTATCTTACGCGCGTCGTGCTCAATTTTCCAGGGTATTTTTTTAATGATCACGACCCTAAAGGTGCATGTTGCATGCAATTCTAGTGGAGCGTCTTTTCGGTGCAGCCGTATATCGCGCACGCAGTTTCAGCCCGTTGCTGTAGGAACATTGTAGCCCGTGAATCCGGTTCAGTAGTTCGGTTTGGTTGGCGCCGTAACGGTCTCATTGTGGAGAAATGCGCTCCGTCCGTCCAATCCGAAAACAGGATGCGTACTGCAATATCACAAATTTCTGTGTAATAGCCAGCTTTGGGTGGGGAACGCGTGTGATTACTTCGGCTTCTGTCGTTTGCCTTTTGAGGCTGCGGTATATAGTTGCGAATGGCTGACAGAGCGACAAACCCCAGGAACAATAGGTTTAGATTACGCATGCCGTGACACCCCACGGGGTAAAGCACTGATATCCGCTCCGATGGGGAGCGAAATGGAAGAAGAATACGAATGTTTAATGCATGACATGGCAATCGCGAGGACATTCAAGAGTTCACCTGATGAGATTCCAGTGCAGTGTTTCGCAGGATGTTTGCTATGCAGCGACAGTGCCGCACGCCCAAGCCAAGTGTAGGTTTTGCACATAATGACAGGAAGATTATCTTGATGCGATTTGGAGGCGATGGATTGCGTGTCGCATCGCCTGGTGGATTTGCAATTTAATAAGGCCAAGATGTGTTCTGCCCGCTTGTCGTCGGTGGCATAACGGTAGCGATCCGATTGTATTGCACAAGGCAATGTTACCCATGTTACGACTGAGATTTGGTTTCTTTAGCTTAGCATTACCTACCCACTTGGTTCGGAAAAGGTCCTAGGCAGAAGCGAAGCCGCCTGTTCAGAGCTAAGACTATGAGGAACCTACGCGAATAGCTCAAATTAGAACGGGGACGTATTTCAATGCACTGGTTGCGATAGCTCACCTTATTGAGAAAGGAGCTTTGTGCAAGCGGTTTGCACTACGTTAGTAGTCAGATCGTTTGACAATCGGATGTGCGGTAAACGGAAATAGTAATCATCACCATCGTCACGGTCATTTATATTGTATGCCCTCCTCTGACGGTGTTTTTTTTTGGGGGGGGGAGGCTGTAATGAGTCATAGCACATATGACACCGAAGGCGGGGATGTGAACCCCTCGGTCGGACCTCAACGGGCTGATGATCGCAAAGGGCAGCGCCACAGAAATGGAAGAAACTGCCGGATGATCACGGTGCACGCGGGGGAACTACACGAGATCGGCTAGAGTAGCCCGGATGTCTCCGATATAAAAAAAAACATAGCCACGGTGCACAGTGCTGCCCTTTGAGATGCGCAGTGTCCGGGTATTCTACCCCAAACAGTACACTTTAGATTCGTCATCCTCGACAGTAAGATGGTTGACAGTTGGCAGCCTCAGGTTTTCCTTTTTTGAGCACTGGCAGGGATTTAACAAACTAGCTGTCGGAAGCTAACAGACTGGCATGGCGGGATTAAGACGGTACGGTTCAACTCATAAACAGTCACGAAAGAGACACCCTTTATGGTTGACAGCATGCTTTTCACACTATCGCTTCATTTTCCCTTTCTACAACACTGAGTGATATTACTTCATTGTGAGGAAGTCACACAATTTGCGGATGCATCGTGACATGGGCATCATTTTATCGTGCTTCTACTGACTGCTTGCGCTTGTACTGCCGTCTGTCCGCCCAAGTCCCCGCCATTAGGGAAAACGTGACGCACAGGACCTGCGTGCATGCAAAACACGGGCATTGTTCAATGCAAAAACCTGGTTTTTGGATCATATGCTTTTAAGTAAGGTTGTCCATCACGAGCCCCTAACTGAACACCCACACTAGTTCAGTCTGAGCGAACCAGCGGATGTCTCCCTCACCAGCCCGCAACTGGGCCGGCCTCTCCTCCCCCCCCCCCCCCCCCCCCGGCCAACGCCCCTGCCCTCCGCCCTACGACGAGCGCCTCGGTGACCTCGGCTCTATCTGACGGCAGGCCTCAGGCGCCGGCGGCCCGGCCGTCCCGCTGCCCCGCTGGCTGACCTTCGACCGCGCGACGGCGACGTTCGCCGGCGTGCCGGCGCGGCGCGAGCGGGGCCCCCAGCTGGTGACGCTGCGCGCGGTCGGCGCCGACGGCAGCGCCGCCCGCGACCGCTTCATGATCGACGTGCTGCTGGACACAGGTGAGAGCAGGGTCGGGGTGCCATTCAGGGGAGAGGTGGAAGGGGCAGCGGGCTGGTGCTCCGCCCCTGCCCCCCCCCCCCCCCCCCACCATGGAGAGGTGGAGAGCAGGAGTGATGCTGGAGAGCAATGGGTGTTACGGGAGTGGGCGACTTGTAATGTAGTATTTTCTAAGCGTCAGGTGAGAGCGGGTTGAGGCTGATGTTTCTGGGGAGAGGTGGGAGGGGCAGCGGGCTGGTGCTCTCACCCTTGCTCCCCACCATGGAGACGTGGAGAGCAGAAGTGATGCTGGAGAGCAATTGGAGCTACGGGAGTCGGTAACTCGTGATGTTGTGCCTTCTAAGCGTCAGGGGCAAAAACCGCACCGGCACCGGTCGAGGCTCATGGGTAACGTCATGAACTTGACAGGTTTAGCTAGTTCTCATTGGCGTCGGTCTCAACTTTTAACGTATGCTATTCGATACGGGTCAAGCAGTTTCTGTCTGTCCCCCGGCAAGTCGCCGCAGAGCTAGAGCGGGTGCTCCAGTATCCCCTTTGTTATCTTAACAAAACTTCGCGTTTTTAGTATCGGCATGCTGACAGGTGCCGTCAGGGGTCAGCAGACAGGAGGGGCGGGGTGGGGTGCGTGTAGCGCGTTCGGGCACGCCCACCCCTCGAGGTTTATTTGTCCATGTCAGCGCCCGTGACGCACTGTTCGAGTGCGTTCCGTTGGCCGCTGTCTGGATTTGGCACGGCCGCGGAACATTGGGTCATCCCGTTAGACCAGACCCCGAAGTGTGAGGCACTTGCTACCTAAAAATAGAGCACTCTCTTCGTTGAAACTCTGCTTTGATGGCGCTCCCCGTACTGGCAGCGACCAACGCGGTGATCTGACGTCGGCCTCATGCGATGCCCTTTCCAGTCGGTGCTTTGCCGACAGCTGGACCCGCTGCTCCAGCTAAGCCTGTTCAAAGTGCCGGCATGACGTCAGAGGGGCGCCGTTATCCTCCACCCAATCGGCCAGTGACCGGGCCCCTGTTTACCCCACCCCGCCCCCGCGTTTCCCTCTCACCATAGCCCCCCCCCCCCCCCCCCCCCCGGAGAAGGTGCGGTAACATCAGCCGCCGCCGAACCGGTCCGCACCACTGGCGGGTCACGTGATACCGGCGGCGCGGGTCACGTGACAGCCGGGGCACGGCCGGGCGAGCCGGGGGAAGGCTTGCGGCGACTGGCCGCGACCGTGCAGACGCCGGGGTCCAGTCGGAAGGCCGACACAGCGGGACGCGCACGGAACATGTGCAAAACGTGTGGTTTGCGGCGAGCCACCCACCACCGACCACCCGCCATCCGCCATCCGCCACCCACCACCCACCACCTACCACCCGTCCGGCCGTGCGTGGGGTGTCTCCCTCCCGGGCCCCGGCGACCTCGCGCACTCGTCCCACCGCAGCAGGAATCGGAACCCAGTTCCGTGGGCGCGGGGCAGCACCAGCCGGAGGCTGTCGGAGGGCGAGGATGTGATGTCCTAGTTGCAGCTGTTGGTGCATATTTGTCAAACATGATGCATAGATTACCCTGGGTGGCCTGGTCTAGCACGGCATCTGTTTGGCTTTTGTGTGCTACAGTGCGACAGTTCCGGTTGGGCAGCGAGTTTTAAAACAAAGCCGAGGTTTGAAACAAAGCGTACAGAATGCGACTTTGCTGGCGCTTGTCGACAATGACTGACAATGGAGCACGGAATTAATGATGCTGTGCAAGTGTACTTTTGACATGAGATTTGTCAAAGCCGATCTCCTGCTGGAATGACCGGGTAGAGAACGGTGAGAAATGTTTTTTTATGACGAAGGATCTGTCATCTGTGCATCAGGCAACGGGAATAATGAAAAACATTCCACTGCTTGTTTTCGCTGCAAATTGGTGTGGCCGTTACTGGACTTTCATTCTACATTCTGCACATGTGATGCCTGCCGGTCTCAGTGTGGGTTTATTTTTCAGAGTCCACCCATGAACACAGCCCAGCAGATCCCATCGATGCGCTAAGCGACGATTTTGACGGCTGCCACGACGGCAGCGCCACCACCGTTGGATCCGTGTACTTTGACTTTGTGTTCGGGTCACTTAGTGGCGCGGAGCGGATAGAGGTGCTGCAAGCTGTTGCAAGTGAGTGGCCACGCTTGGGTGACAGAAGTTATGGGCACGGGTTATCAGCGTCGTCATCTAAATCTTAAACATATAAAAGTTCCTCGTGTGCTCAACTACAAAAACTTATGTTACCAGTCATGGTGGTACCTTCTTTTCTCAAATGAAACCTGGCCATCGGTTGCCAGAGGCAATTCATATGCCGTGAATTAAACCTAGCATAATTAAAATGGACATCTAGAACAAATCGGTGCAGCACTCTTCACTCCGCTCGAAATGGTGGCCACGCAGTGCGGCATGCAATTCGTGGCGACACGATAGGTTTCCCCAATACGCTAGCCGTACTGAGTGGCGGGGATGTGCGTGCTCACAGGGGAGCTCCGTGTGGACGCCGAGTTGATCCACGTGGCGACACACACGGGATCGCTGCCGCTGGATGACCCCGCCACGGTGGAGGCGGGGCCGGGGGTCAAGGCCGCCCGGGCTCAGCGGCTCACCAGATTCTCCTGGAAGGTGATGCTTTGTCACGTCTTGGTCATTATGTATTTGTCGCCATGACTGTTCCAGATATGGCTGGTGTGAGCTGGATTTCCTGTCACGCCCCGATGAGCCTAGCACTTGCTGATCACTATTCCTGGCACGGTAAACGACGTTGACTGGTCTACCCGCATGCGTGTTCAGTACTTCGCATGAACGGTAACCCCACGACCGACGCTACGCACACCCATGGCGTCTGCTCCACCCCTGACGCTCGGCAGGGGGAGGCCGTCTGACGTGCCGCCTGACCTGACCTCAGGTCGGCTGTGGGGAGCAGCTGGACCCGGCGCGCCGCTGGTCGTTGGAGGCGGTCCGCGCCGACTCGAGGCTGAGTCAGCTGTCGGCGGCCGCGGGCCGGCCGGCCGTCGGCTGGACCCTGCAGACACGGCACAGCTCCAGGCACCGCCGCCAGGTGCGCGAGGGGGGACTGAACGCAGCGGACCGGCGGCACAGCGGCCCGCAGGCGTGACGTGGGTGGTCACGTGCTTGGGGGTCTCGGCACTGTGCACAGCCCCACTGCGGTGTCGGTGCCCCTCGAAGTGTGACCTGTCAGCACTGTCTTCGTGGTTTCAAGCGTCTTTCCAGTGCCCTGGCCTCTCAGCGCGCGTGCTTGATTCCTCTGTCACCAGGCTTGCGGGAATGGGCATATCCATGCGCCAGTTCTCGCCACCCACGTGCACCGATCACGCGCCCTGCCCCGCACGCTAAAGGTGTCGGCGCACCCGCCCCGCTCGTCGCCGCTGGTCACGCACGCGGCCCGCCCAGCACCACCTTACCCCGGTGTGCCGGCTCTTGTTCGTGTCGTGCCTTACTTTACTCAGCTCGGTCACGCGGCATCCCGGCGCTGTCCCCTCCCTCTGCACACCCTGCCGCCGCGCGCGTGTTGAGGTTCCGACTACCGCAGGCCGATAACTCCGGAGACCACTACGACGAAGACTACTACTATGAAGACTACGACCTCTTTGATGGCGAGGGTGAAGACGTGCGCCGTGGGGAAGTGTACGACGGCAGGCTTGATGAAACCTATGATGATAGCTTTCACGAAATCTACGACGCTAGCGATCCGGAAGAGCGGGTGGTGCCGACGCTGGCCTCGCCGGCGTTCCAGGGCCCGCCCGCCTCGCCTGTCTACCCGCCTCCGCGCATCTCAGCGCCCGTCCTCCTCTCAAGGATGAGCACGCCCATACCGGTACGGCCGCACCCGGGGCTCAGTTCGCAGGCTGCGATGTAACGCTCCCGTGCCGCTGGGGATACCCCCGGCGTCCGCGTCGTCTAACTGCATGTCCGTGGTCTGGGCGCTCTCCGTGCTGCTGGGTTGTGGATGTTTGCGTTGCATGCGAGCTGTATTCTGGACATGCTCTGCTGCGCTGGGTGTGACCGCATGGACCCTGTCGGACGTGGCTTACTTAGCTCTCAAAATTTGGCGCTTTGGTTATGCTTTGCAACTGTTGACAGTCATCTGCCAGCTGCCAGCAGCTGTAAGCGACCGGTTACCACCAGGTCCATTCAGCTAGGCTCGTTAAGGCCGATTTATCAGTCGCTTAGTGGTAAAGATGTCCCTAGGTAAGACCAAAGTTCTGTCATCATTCATTTTTACCGTTTTGAGATTGTTACGATGATCGGGTGCACCACGGAATAAAAAGTGCGCTCAAGAGTATCTATTGAAGATAATCATACACGTACCGTTTGTGAGCACGAGTTGAGTATTCAAGAGTGTGTATATGTAACTAGCCTCCACTAATATTGATTATTCACAGAGCCACGAACATGGCTGTCGCACGCTGTAGTAAGGCTGGTACTGCCTGAAGCTCGTCATTCTAGTCCTCACACATAGCTGTCCAATGCGATATCGTCGCCTGTATTTAAAACATATGCCTGGCGTACTATGCACTTACTAATGTATGTGTAACCATATGTCATGTAGTTTGCTTGTATGTACCTAATCTGTATCCTGTACGAGGCAGAACACAATGCAACGGGTAGTTCAGTTCTTTTTCAGGCCGCCCCAACTCACGGCAATGAATGTGCTGTTACTATTGCAAGATTTGAAAGCCTCAGATTTTCATAACTCTGCTCATGTTGCGATGCCACCACTGTGTGTCAGAAAATGTCTGACACCTCATGAACGTCTGGCAGTCGGGTCATGCCATGAAGGAACTGTAATTTCTGATAGAACCAGCTCTCAGTTGGATGGGAACTGTGCCGGAGTTTTGTCACTGAGTGTGACGAGCATAATGGGGCTTTCGAGCCCCCCTCCCCCTCCGTCAGGCGAAGAGAGAAAAGCGTTTTTAGGACAGGGAAAAGGGGAGGTGAGCCACCTCCCTCCTCCCCCTGATAATGGAGACGGGGGAGGAATAATGGTTCATGATTCCGCGGAGCGCGTTACTGACCTCCCTCTGATTCTCTGCTGCGTGCACCTCTGACCCGGCCTCTGCCGACCAGGTGACGGTGCTCCCCACGGTGTACTCTCCGGATGGCCTGGAGCCGAGCCGAGTGGTGGAGGAGCCTCCCATGTCGCCCTACCCTGGACACGCTCATTCTTGAGTCGTCGATGGTAGTGACATCTACCGTGGCCCAGGTGAGCCCCTTCCCGCGCAGGGGCTTCGAATCAAGATGCTTTGCTATTAAGGGTGCCGTCTGGCCCATGCGAAGGTTGCAACGTTTTGGTGACGGCTATAAGATGTCAGCAGCTGCTAATTAAGTATCTCCCATCTGATGTAAATATGTTGTCGCTCAAATATATCCATCCTGGCGATGCGTCCCGTGCTGTTCTGCCCACCACCTGACGCTGCACCACGCCTGAGTCTTGGGGACAACAATACAACAGTCCACCTGTGGGCAGACATCCACGGCCTCGCCGGAGCTGGTGTCGACCACGCCCACACTGCCGCCACCGCTGGAGACGGCCGTCCCGGCGCCGGTGAATGCTTCCCCAGTCGTTCGGAATCGCCTGTCTCCGCTCTCGGCCATCGCCGGCAAGCCGTTCCTCGAGGAGGTGCCCGATGACATCTTTTACGACCAAGAGTCGGGCGACACTCGCGAGCTGCAGCTGGAGCTGCTGAATGCCGAGAGGGAGCTGGTGTCGCCCCACAGCTGGCTCCAGCTGTTCGAGACGAGTCAGAAGCTGTACGGCATGTGAGTGGTGCGCCCCTGCGACGCTAACGAGGGCGGAGAGCGGGGTAGGAGACAATGGAGACTGCTGACGGCGGCGCCGCCCACGAAGTTCACGGTTCTGGACGGACCAGGAGCGTGGCTAACCTGTGACGGCTGCGCTACCTGTTGAGCTCAGCGCTTTGCTCGTGATTTAATTGCTCAATAATGCAAACTCTGATGGTGCTCTGGCTGGCGACGGGTGCACGGCATCAGTGCATCGATGCTCGACTTCCGTGTTAACTTGAGACCGCCTCTCTCCCCAGTGCCCTGAGGAAAGATGTCGGCCAGCACAATTATGTGCTAGCTGCGTTGGATGACGATGGAGGACATGCCCTCACCGACTTCTCCATCACGGTCAACCATAACCAGATGCTGGTCGCCCCCAACCACCACTTCCGGATGGATCTCAAGCTGTTGCTGGCGCGAGGCTTCCCGAACAAGGTCTGTCGGGTCGCCTCAAATGTGTCTGTTGTCGGCGGCGGTGAAGGTGCCTTCCTCGGCACGCGTGGTGCTCCGATGTGGACGGTTCCACCTCATGCCGACATCGTCGGTGTCTGGCCTAAGGCATGGTATTGCACACCGTGTCCCTGTGAGGTGGAACACTCTGTCGCCCCCAGGTGGACTGGGTGCTGAACGTGATGAGCAAGCTCTCGGCGCTGTTCGGGGAGCCCGAGGCCAGCTCCAGCGTCCTGCTGGAGGACTACGTGGACCGCGAGGGCGAGCCGCTTCGTATTGTGTGGACCAACAGCACGCTCAGCGCGGGCACCTGCGACCTAACGGAGATCGAGCGCATCGAGGCGGTACGTTTGATGGCCGCTGGGGCAGGCGACCCGGGCGCTGAAGCCCTCGCACACGACCGCAGATCAGAGCCGGGAATGTGATGGGAACTCTCAGAGGCGGGAATGACGACGCACGCTGCCGCTTACAGGCTTTTGTGTATACGTAGAACGCATGGTGGCGATTTCAACCAGGGATTTATTCTCCGAAGAAAACTTAAGTCGCGCGATTTTGGCGCCTTACGTCGTCCCTGAAGGACAAGCAAAACCATGCGTAGCGTGGCGTTTGAATCCAAGTTGCCATTGATGACGAGCCTCACATCTCCGACTGTGTACGGCACACTGCTATTGACGGATTCGAGTTAAGAAGCGCGATCGTCCACCGTCTCGGGCTTATCCGTTCCAACACTGTTCGGCGTGCCTGCTGACCTCGCTGCGAGCCAGTTCAGGAGGGCCGCAGTGACCAGTGGCGCCCGCTCCAACAGGTGCTGATCGACAAGGACGGCTCGCCGTCCCCGCAGCTGCAGAAGGCGTTGTCCCCCGAGATGCGGGCCAAGCGTATATCCGTCGAATTGGAGGACTCGTGTCTCCCGCCGCCGCCGCCGCCAGTGACCCTGGCTCCGACGGAGCCGCCAACAGAGCCGCCCACGGAGCCACCTACGGAGCCGCCCACGGAGCCACCAACGGAGCCACCAACGGAGCCACCAACGGAGCCACCAACGGAGCCACCCACGGAGCCACCCACAGAGCCGCCCACGGAGCCAACACCGGAGCCGACAGAGGCGGTGGTGCCAAGGGTCGAGCCGCCCATTGTCCATAATGCGATGAAGCCACTGAACGTCACCGTGGGAGATCTGCTACTAGCCCCGGTCAGTGGCCTCTGGTAGCAGGCTGATGACATTGCTGGACGGCATGTTTTTTTCGTCCATCCCGGGAGAGCTAAAGTTGATCTGGAACTTTGCGGTGGCGATACACGCACGCTTAGAGAACGGCAATGCGTATTTACGGGTACATTTCAGGCTTGGCTGGGGGACGTTTGTCACATGTTCGAAGTGTTCGGTACGCTTGGAGTTGCACGACATAGTTGTAGTAACAACATTTTCAAATGGCGGGCCTGTCGTGAATTTTGTCGTGTGACTTGTTGGTGTGAACTATGCCCATGTAACCTGACCTGGTATGTGCTCTGACCTGGTGGCCGGGTGTAAACCTGGTTGGCGTGACCCGGTGACCTCACCTGGTACAACAGCCACGCTTGGCTTTACGTGGCCAGGCTTGACATCGAGCTCTGTCACCCCGCGTGACCTCTGACCTGGTGACTTGACCTATCATAATTCGGCGACTGGTTTGCAGGTGCCGGATGACCTGTTCATGGACGCTGTTGACGGCATGTCCTGCTATACGCCCCTGGTGCTGGGGCTGGCCAACCGAAGGCCGGTGCCGGCCAACCATTGGCTGCAGCTGGAGCCGGACGCCCAGCGATTGGTCGGATTGCCCCTCGATAAGAACGCCGGCTTCGACCTATACCACTTGGTGAGGCCCGGCCGTAACACGTCGCTGAGGAGGTTGCAAACTCGATGTGACCGATGCAGCTGATACACACACTTGGAGGTGCCTTTGTGGTCATGTGGCATTAACACTGGCGCGTTTATTGTGACCACTAATATCGTGGTGTTAATGCAGGCGTATTTATTTGTTGTTTTTGGTTGCGCAGCACACTCCCCAAGCGCATGTACCAATTATCATGCCGGACAAAATCAAGCGCAGTATTGGCTTACTTTTTCCTGTCCATGATCATTCACTTGCTGTGGTTGGAATACAGCATATCAAAGCACTGTCCACATCCCGAAATATAGGTCCGTTGTTGATCTGATCGATCATACAATCATGCGGCTGTTTACTGTAATCTGCATAGCTACTCCCGGGATTGCCGGGGTGCGGGAGTCATCGAGCGCCGGCGGTGCTCACCGTCGGTAATTGCCCGACGACTAACGACGTTGGCAGTGCGTCATAGCGAGCAGTTATCACCAGCTGTGCGGCGCACACTTGTGCCGGCCGGCGAGGCGGCGCCCCACTCACAGCTGCGGCCGTTACAGGGGTGCACGAACAGCAGGGGCTTGGAGGCGTATGCCCCGCTGGAGGTGGCGGTGGCGGCGCGCGACGCCTCGGCGTCCGCCTACAGCGCCGAGTTCGAACTGACGCTGGACCAGCGCTACCGCGCGTTTATGCGCCAGCCGCGGCTCCACGTGCTGCTGGTGAACAAGATCGCCCGGCTCTTCGGCGACGCGCGGGCCGACGCGGTGGTCGTGGACGCTTTCCGACCCGGCTCGGTCGTCGTCACGTGGTTCAACTCGTCGCTGCCGACGGACAGCCTGCCCAGACGACGAAATCCAGCGGATGCGCGAGGCGCTGCTCGACGACCAGGAACGGGTAACGGAGCGCGCGCGGCGTCTCCTGGCGCCTGAATTCGCGGCGAGCGCGGCGCGCGTCATTCCGCGCGGCGTCTGCCTGGCCGACATGACGCCCACGGAGCCGCTGCCAGTCGCCGCCGATGGGCGCAACGACACGCTGGCGGGCGGCGCCGCCGATGATGACGACGACGACAGCTACCTGATCACGTTCCTCATCCCGGCCGTGGTGATCGCGGCCATGCTGCTGATAGCCGTCGTGGTGGCGTGCGTCCTGTACCGGTCGCGGCGGCGCGGCAAGATGACGATGACCGACAGCGGCACGTACGTGAGCCGCGGCATCCCCGTCATCTTCGCGGACGAGCTCGAGGAGCGCGTTGACCGGCGCGCCTCCAGGCCACTGGTGCTGAGCAGCGAGCGGCCGCCCGAGCCGCCCGCGTACCCGGCCACCCAGACCACGCCCATGCTGGACGCCCAGGGCGAGCCGAATGGCGCTGACGTGCCGTTCGAGCGGCCGCCGCCTGTGGCGGCGCCGGCCGAGGCCAGCCGGCCCAGCCGCACTCAGACGGCCGGCCGCCAGCCGCCGCCCTACGTGCCGCCCTAGCGGCCGGCGGCGCGCCAGCCGGCCGGCCGCGAGGGCCGGGCCGGGCGCGGAGGCGGGGCAGCGGCGGGGGCGCGATCCGGCGTCGGCCGGGAACCCTAGCCCGCTGCGCTCGCTTCTCTCAGACTTCGGCGACGAGTCGTTTTAGCTGCCTGACGATGAATTGGTGCTCGGCTGTGGCCTCCGGGACCATGAGACTGTCTGTGTGGCGCCGGTGTGTCAAAGCGGGAGGCCCCGGACGTCCTCAGAGCGAAGCCTGTTAGGAGGCCGGCCAATGCGAGGTCCCTCATCCACCGTAGACTGCGTGTGGGGTGACTCAGGCCCGCCGCGCTCGGTGGACAGCGGAGACGCGCACTGTGCCGTCAAAGGCGACACAGGATCTGACTGTGCGAAGTCGGTGCCCTGGTTCAGCCGCGCGCTGGCGGCGGCACGTGGAACCCTCGCTGCCGTCCCCAGTCTCACTGACAAGAGCTTATCGTGGGTGCTGCCGTTAGGCTCGTGCCGGCCGCTGGAGTGCGCGGCTGCCGCGCGCGCGTGCCCGTGACCGCTTCTCGCGAGAAGGGCTCGGACGCGGGAGCCTCCACCAGTGCCCGAGCAATGCTAATGTGATGCTTTGTGATGTGTGTGTGCGTGGTGGCGACTGTGAGGGCGAGTTGTTTCGAGGCGCGCGACTTTCGTTGTGTAACCCAGCCGGCTTAGAGCTCTCGGTGCTTGGAAGCGGCCCAGTGGTGGCGGGCGGACGAGCGACGGACGCGGGCTGCTCGCCAGGCCATGGCCTCGCGTAGTGGGGCCAATCATAATCAGACGTACTGCTAACGCTGCCAGGCGAGACGACACGAGCTGTCAAACGCTGTGTGAATCCGCAATATAAACCATGTATTCGTGCCCGTTGCGCCCTGATCATCATTGGCAGATTGGCTTATTATTGGCAGGTCATCCGAAGGGGTGGAGTTCCCTATATATGGGGGGGGGGGCTACAGCCCCTCCCCAAACTTTGGAGAATAAAACGGGCCATATCCACGGGGAACTAGCTTGTTTGCGTGTTTTAATGCAGGCTTCATCATCATTTTTTGCTCAGCCCCCCCCCCCCCGCGCATAGCGTAAAACTACACCCCCGGCCATCCGAAACAGTGGGCCGATATTCTGGCATTGGCGATGAACCATATCGAAGGTGAATTTCACTGTGCAGTCGGACACGGCCCAAGACGTAGCTTAAAACCCCGCCTGCGTGGTATGAACCTGGAGGCCCAAGGACTTCCAGAAAAGTGGCGTGGAGGTGGAGGTAATGCAGCAGAGACGGAGGACGTGACTCCTGCCAGGACTATAGCCGTCATCTTGCGGAAGCGGAAGCCGCACGAAACGAATATCGGCGAGATGCAGCTACGGAATGGGGCCGGCATGATGTGGTTGTCAGCTCGATGTGATGAAGGTGACTATGCCACCCATTTTGCCGCATAAGGTGTGCTTCTTCACGTCAAGATTGGTGCCATTCAGTCAGACGTTCAGCATGCTACAAGACGCGGCACAGCCTCACCGTAGTGGGTCTCTGGCCGTTCTCCGGCACAAGAGAATGACAGCCAGAAACGCACCCGACGTGGTCAATGCCTTCCGGTCATTTCTCCCCGAGAGCCGTGATGCAAATCGAGTGACCTCCTATGCTAACAACTGTTCTGCCAACAAGTGTTGGATAACGCTGACAGCGCTTATGCAAGCTGTCCACTACGATTGCTTCGTGGCAGAAACCACCATTGTCAAGCACCTGACAACGGGGTATCTCCATTAGCGTTGATGTGCATCACCGAGTCATCAACAAACAGCTGAAGAGGCGGAAAGAGGTGTGGGATTTCGGGGATCACGCCACTCTGGCGAAAAATGTCAATATCCCGACCAAGAGCACGAAGTATGATGACTTCCTTGACTTAGTGATGGGTTCAGTGGGGGAAAAATCAAGAAGCTTCAGGGCCAAAACAAACGACTCTACCTTGGCGACCTAAAGGTGGTCCAAGCCCGCACAGGGAACATCAGGCTGTTTACCAAGACAGATTTCAATCAAACAGCACGGAGGTCACAGATCACCAAGCAGACGTTCGACCTGGCAGAGCCCTGAGCATACAACCAGACCCCGAGGAATCAACAGAGAAAATGGCAGAGGTATCATCGAACTTGCCTCCTCTCACGCCACCGCACAAGAGGCAGCTTTGGGTGCAGATGGAGGTCCATGCCAAGTCGGGACTGAAGGACCTTGTGACAGCCTGAGGGAAACGCGGACGGAAATGAGCAACTCGCACGGGTTTAGCACCGGTGTCGATGGGGGGCGATTGCTGCAAGTTTCTGTCCGACGGGCTTGGGCGAGACTGTTGTGATCCAGAGACGCGCCCGCGGGCTTTGGTCAGGGGAGGAACGGCTGTGTTAAGACGGTACTGTATTTACAGATCAGTTCGTAAGCGCTACGATTCGACTGATAGTCTGGGACAACCTTTACCGGTCTTCTTGTTTTGTATCATCTGGAGGTATATGAATGTCAACAACTGCAAGTTTGGATGCACTACACCAATCCGATACACATTTTGTCTGTCCTTATGGTTGCTGCAGACAGTACCGAAAGCTTCGCTGATATAAGAAAATATATTGTCTCGGCGGTTGTACATGGAACGACAGTTCATCAAAACTAAACGTCACATTAACGTACTGACACGCAATTAGCTTTGCTTTGCTTTGCTTGAACTGCCACGATGGCAAAAGGAGCTACGATTTTGCTCATTGTGCACACATGTTTTTTATCATTTGTATCCCGCCCGTACTCCGTATCAAAACCACGCATGCCTGGAACATACGTCCTTTTATTAGAGCTATGTCAGTTACGTTTTTTTTTTTTGGCTGGGGGCTTGACCTGAGGGTAACGTAAGGAGCCAACAGCGAAAGGACTTAGATCGATTCATAAACTCATTTAACATATTTGGCACTGAACACACCATGCACTGTAAACGCACAAATTTTGCGATTCTCTTGATACAAAGAGCGTCTTTGTACCTCAATGTTACGCCAGTTTATGGGGAAAAGCACATAGCTCACTCTCTTGAAAAACATCAAAATGTTTGATACGTCCTTTTGCCACTGAACGACAGAGAAATTATAACGGTCGTAGAGCAGAGTAAATATCGGACATTGAACGATAACCCTAGCCCGGTTATCTCATTCAGAGGACTGCACGACGGCAGCAGACAAGCGTTAACGATAAAAACGACCGTGTCACAAACATGGCGACCACCCGACCCAATCTGGAGCCGCATGGGCCCAGCACAGAAGCAAGTATTGCACCCGATCCTACCGTATCACTACAGCAGTAATAACTGACCACAACCGAACACAGTTATCACAGTGGTCGCGGCCCGTCCGCCGCGCGGCAGCCGTTCTCCCTCACGCATGGCCGGCAGTACTGAGCTCAGCTGCCGTCGTCTCGGGACAGAGCCAGTCCGCCAGCTCGTGGTGGGCGTGCACGCGCGCCGTATTGGCCGCCGTCCGACCGTGAACGTCGCGGGCGGCGCGGTCCGCCCCGTTCGCCAGCAGCAGCCGACAGAGCGCGGCGTGGCCCTCGCGCGCCGCCGCGTGCAGCGGCGTGCTGCCGTCGGCCGCCGCCGCCGCCGCCGAGTTCGGGTCCGACTTAAGCTCGCACAGCAGGCGGGCTGTCTCCTCGGAGCCGGCCTGGGCGGCGGCATAGAGTGCGGTGCGGCCGAGCCGGTCCCGGCGGCCGGGGTCGGCGCCGGACCGCAGCAGCAGCGCCGCCAGCTGGCCGTGGCCGCCGCGGCAGGCGTCCATCAGCGCGGTGGCGCCGCACGCGTCGGTCGCGTCCACTGTCGCCGCCGGCCGGGCGGCCAGCAGCCGCCGCGTCACCGCCAGCCGGCCGGCCAGCGCTGTGGGCAGGACCGGCATCACGGGCAGGCAGCCCAGCCGCCGGCGAAGGCGGGCCACTCGGCGATCAGGGCAGACCAGCCTGTCGGCTCACTCTTATGCGATCAGCTGAGCTGAGCACAACCGAGCCGCACCCTCGGGCGGACGCCACGTCAACAGAACGGCGAATGCCGTCGAAAGAACAGCACACACACGTTCGATGGGAGCGCAAGCCGGTAAGTTGCGCAGAATTTCAACCACATGAAGCAATCGCCAGACAGCTAAATCTCCCCCCCCCAAAAAAAAAACAACCTGAGAAATGGCGATTCGGGCCAAGGCTTTTTCCTTCGTGAAACATTGTGTTCCACCCAGGATGCCGAGCACATAGCCACATACGCTCGCACACGCGTGTAACGAAGCGACCACAACAGGCCATCCCTTGGTGGTTAGAACACCGGCCGGTCTGCGCCAACACGACCGTATCTTTTCAGCCAACGGACGTCAAAGACGGCTGGCGTTTACGGAATGGTCGCGATGCGACTTAAGCAACCCATCCATCACACGGCCTTCAATGACAACAGCTCTCAATGTCTCAGGTCGCTTGTTGAAATATGGGTTCGGGTTTCTCTCAGACCGACTGTACCAGATGCAGACTGACCGGGTCTGCTCATTCCGCGATACCGACCAAAACAATACTCTATCGCACGGGCGCAGCCAAGGGAGGGGAGAGTGGCTACACCCACCCCTTCAACCGGCCTTTTTCGTCACAGACGGCTCATGAAAGAAAGTTAACACACGGCGTGACGCGTCCTCCCTGAATTATGCCCGCTTACCACCAACCAAGACATCCTGGTTGCACCCCTGTCCACCACGCCATGACTGCCTGGCATAACCTGCCCCATGTTGTAAAGAGCTGTGGCATGGCGGCATCCGAAAAGAAAGGCCGAGCTAAGAAGCCTGGTGCCTGCGTGGGGCGGTGAGGGCAAACAGGCCGCATGATTGGGGGATAACGAAACCACAAAAGGAAGCGGTGCTAACTTTGGAAACTCCCGATACATTCACTGCAACCGTTCGCTACAGATCCCGTCCAACGTTGTCAGGTCGCTTCGGTATGACCCCCTTACAATGCTTGCAGCAACGTGTTCAGACTGTTTTGCCAACATGCGCATAGGTCATTGATTAGGTTCATGATCTTTCCAAGGTCAACGATGGCCAGCAACTTAGATTCCTCTCTTCTTAGTTTGGATCGGTCTGGTCTTAAGCCTAGCTGCATATATCTGGCTCAGAATACAATTTCGCGCCTACTTGGCTCGAAAGTCCCATTATATTACGGTGGAATTATTCGATGTCGCGTTTCAAAACACCAAGGTTGACCTGATAGGAGGACAGCCCAACCATGATCCAGCCAGTTAAACACATCAATCGACAAGCCTGCATCAGCGACCAGGTACATGCCCTAGGGACACTCCTGTAACCTGTGAGAATGACACAAGCGTGAGATTTGCGGAAATGATACCGGTGACGACAAAACCTAGCCTACATAAAACACATAAGTACAAGCATGCATGCAATCATACTTCGATACAATATATGCAACATCATAAATGTCCCTATCAAGGGCTCGATTGACGACTGCGTGGTGTTGCTCATCATGCACACCCGCCCTTGCCCGCATCCCTGGCCCGTCCCAGTGTCACGAGCGCGCCGCACGCTCCCCGAGGCGCGCCTCACCGGCGGTGTGAAGCAGCGTGCGGCCGGTGCGACTCCGGCTGTCCAGCAGGCGCGGTTCGGCGGCCAACAGTCGCTCCAGCACGGCCAGGTGGCCGGCGCGCGCCGCAAGCTGGGCGGCCGTCCAGCCGTCCTTGTTGGCCAACAGCGGCAGGGCGCCGGCACCCAGCAGCGCCGCCACGCACGGCTCGTCGGGTCGCGTGCTGGCTAGCATCAGCGGCGTCCAGTCGGCCCGCTTCAGCGCGTTCACGTCACAGCCTGCCCCACAGTGGCATGCGGTGCAGCATGAGACGAAACGGAAGGGCAGAACGGAACTGCACGGAACGGACGGAACGGAACGAAACGGGACAGAACGAAGCGAAACGGAACGGAATGGAACAGAACGGAATGAAACGGAATGGGACGGAACGGGACGGGACGGAAGGGAACAAAACGAAACGGAACAGAACGAAACAGAACGGAGCGAAACGAAACGAAACGAAACGGAACGGAACGGAACGGAACGAAACGGAACGGAACGGAACGGGGCGGGGACGGGGCGGGGCGGGAGGCACGGCACGGCACGGTACGGGTCCTCCATCCTGCGTCATGATGCATTCTGGGCGAATCCAAATTTTGAAATTCTTCGTAACATTGTCACAGATGGCCGCCGACTGCGTGACAGTGGCACCAGCTCGCACCAAATACGACGAATCACTGTAGGTCCGCCCGGGTGTGGAACGGTGTGGTAGTTGTGCCCTTGCAATGAACTTAATTTGAAATCGTACTCATTTTGTTCAATTTGTTCCCAAGACATGGCGAGAGTTGGTCACCAAAGGCTAAAAATGTTTAGTTTTCACTAAAAGTAGGCCATTGGAGATGAAGTACATTGAGGCATTGCTGCATCACCCTGAGCAGGTGTCCAGAAAACAGACTCAATGATCTGAAGGGGTAGACAGCAGGGTATGTGATGTAATTAAATATTATGATCTCTAATGGCCTGTGGGGTCCTGTATTCTGACGCAATGTTGTGCTGGTTGAGGCACAATGCATGACCATGGAGTGTCAGCATGTTGAGAACCACTGACCACAACAGGATTGTGAATTATCAAGCCTCTAGTTTTAGTTCTAGCTCTCAGCAGATGCACCCCACAAAGAGGACTTGCAATGCAGCCATCTTATTATATGCCTGCCAAAAATTGCATGCTCACTTTTCCAAGCAGGGAGGTCATCTCACAGTACAACTTCAAGTCAATAAATTTAGTTATGCATATCAGCCCTCTATCAGTTTAGGTCTAAGGGGCAATGAATGAGAAAGAAACCTTAAAATTAAGTGATATGTACTGATGGTAGGGCAATAACAAAATGCAAAGAAGTACCTGCTTTTATGAGAACTTCAAGACACTCCAGCTGCGAGAAGTGGGCTGCCTCATGAATTGGGCGTTTTCCATCCTTGTTTCCCATTTCCAAGCACACCCTGCAGCCTGCATTCAGCAGAAACCTGGATCATGATTAAAACATGATATTCACACAGGAGTCAGAGCATGTTGGAGAAATGCATGAGAGTGTTTACTCAATGAACATCACTGAAATGAGTAGACATGCACTTTACTGAAATACACTTCATCAGTGCAACACACATATCAATCAATTTGTTGTTGATTGGTGTTTTCGGGCACGCCGACTGCAGCGGTCGTTTGGCGCCCATTCACATATCAATCAAAATAACACTGAACATCTGACAAGTCAAAAGAAAATGCACAAAAAATTTTTGCACAGAAGCTCTTCAAGCTGCAAGCACCATCCAGTCAGAAAATATGTTCACAGTGAGTGTGTCTTCAATGAGCCCTCAATGACTGGAAGAGCCTTCCCTATGAGATATTTGTTTAAATAGGTCAGCCACTTTAAGTTCAGACTCACTAATCACTGAGCCCACAAAATGTACCAAAAATTAATCCAAGACCAGCCTAGTTATTAGCCACATGTGATTTCTGAGAATGGGACTTGCAGGTTCTTGCCCTTGAAAATCCTGAAGTGTTTGACAAGGTAAGGTATTTTACACACCAATAGGATGGTGGGCTGCAGGAGGATTGGGTGGCAAAATTGATCAGGGTGGTCAAGTTTATTAAGTTTAAATTCAGATAGGAAGGGTGAGGTACACTTCCTTTGATGACAAAGATGATGATGATTTGGGCTTTGAGGTGTGAAAAGTATAACAGTCATATGGTGTCTATAGCTTTGCTACCTTTAGCTATCTTCAGTTAGTGTTGTTACATTATGCTCCATACCATTACCCTCATCACCAATTTTTTCTCAGTTATTTAATGTGCTTGCATTAAGGTGAAGCTTGTTTGCACTTGTCATAGTCACAAGCTCTATCTGTTATGATTAATTATGATATGTTCTGCCTTAAAAATGATGATTGATGTACAATACTCTTTCTTAACATGAGGTGGCAACGTATACCATGACCCAGTTTTGACCTTATTTGTTACAAGGCCACACACATCATTAATCAAGTCATTATTTATCAGTTGTTACTTGTTGAAAGGTTGTACCACATCATTCACCTGAGGATTTCAGCATGTCCTTCCCTTGCTGCAAGGTGCAGACAGGTATCCTTTGATTTTGCCTGAATGCAATCAGTCCATACAAAATTGAAATGACATTGATCAATACACTTCTTCAATGCCTCCAGCATGCCTTCTTGAACATATTTAAAAATATTCTCGTTGATGCCATCCATACTAACAGCTTTTCTTTTTGAAAATAAAACACTTTCAGTCGTGAGACCGCTACAAGGCCGAGTAATACTGCTGAAAAACCCGGCACGCGACATTAAAATCTCACAGGTACATATCGCCTCACACGCGCCATAACCTTCTTCAAATAGTTCACTTTTTTAGAGAAATTATACCACGAGTATTTTACGCACAGCCGATATTCAGCACAATCAGCTAGCGTCAGCAAACTTTCACCAATCAAAAGTGATATGATCCAAGCGTGGTATTTTACGGCAGATCAATGATGAGCGGAATTATTACTATTGCTATCGTGGTTTTGGCCATTGACGGTGGCAATGCTGTTATGATAAATTGCTCATTATTTTCACAAAACTAAGATATTAAGGTATCACGATTATGGCAAGAAACAACAAATTTAGTTTGTGGCATACAGACCAAACATGAGTAGCAAGGAAATACTAACGTCTTTTTTACATTGATGTTTTACATTGATACATTGCATTGATGTTTTGATTTTCTTCAACAGATATCACCTGCGACATAAAAAACGATCACACGAAAGCAAAAGTAGTCGGATAAAGGCATGACACAAATGGAACAGTGGCATTGTTTTTGACAGCCTTACGCATTTCGTGACAATGGCGGGAGACAGTTTCAGCTTCATCTGTAATCGTGTGGCCAATGTGTTTTAAAATAGATATGTAGCTACGTTCTCTTACCATTTTGGAGTTTTGACTATTCGGGAGTAACTCAGACTTTCAATTTGCAAGGGTTTCAGGTTTCCGGTACAGAGAGTCCGCCTGGTTGTGGCGGACTTTCTGTGGAGGCTAAGGAGGGCCGTTGTAATTTGCCCTTTTCGTTAGTGTACTGCCGCCATGTTAAATGTTCCTCGGATTTGGCAGAGGGTGGCTGCACCCTGCTCTCCCCAAATCCCCCGCCATGTTCTGCCAAGCCCCCGGCCCCAGCCCCAGCACCAACCCTAGCCCAGACTCAGTGCCAGTGCTAGTGCCAGTGCCAGGCTCAGCCTCAGTCCCACTCCCACTCCCAATCACAGTCCCAGTCCCAGTCCCAGTCCCAGTCCCAGTCCCAGTCCCAGTCCCAGTCCCAGTCCCAGTCCCAGTCCCAGTCCCAGTCCCAAGTCCCGGCCCCAGTCCCAGTCCCAGTCCCAGTCCCAGCCGCAGTCCCAGGCCAAGGCCCATCCGGAGGCGTAGCTTTAGCTCCAGTCCAGCCCCGTGATGCACTACTTAGCGCCGTACTGATCAAATAACGCATGCAACCGAGGGCGAACACCAACCGAATACCAGGTCCAGGCCGGGCCCCAGTACCAGGTACAGGCCTAGCCGCAGCCGCAGCCCTGTCCTGTGAGGCGCTTCCTAGCGCTGCGCTGATTACGTTACGCATGCAACCAACGGCGATGTAGCCAAGGAGGATTGGGTTAAGGGGCGCGGGAATCATATTCAAGCTGGGGGAGGGGATCCAAAATGTCAAAATGAGCCCTAAGCTTAGATAGAAGGCCCGCGTATGTGCGATGTACATACGCAGCTCGCCTAGCTTTCTTGGGGCTGCGCATAGTAAAATGGGACCTCCTCAGCCTTGGCAGGGGCGAGCACACCGTTGACAAAGTAAAAGGATAGTAAAAGGACCTGAGGACCTGATAGTAAAAGGACCTCCAAAAATCGCCGGATATGGAACGTCTGTTATTAAGGTAATGCTTCTCTTATATATATATATATATATATATATATATATATATATATATATATATATATATATATATATATATACGTGACCTGTAAATTTCTTTAGTTACATATCTATTTATTAAATTATAGACATTCCATATACATACATATACACACGTATAGGTCACGTATATATATATATATATATATATATATATATATATATATATATATATATATATATAAATACATTAACATCACAATTTTTACCTCCTATGACTGGAATGTAGGCAGGTGTACCGTGAGATTAATTCTGCAGTAGGTTTATAGTACAATAAACTGATGGAGTCACGTGTTAAAATTACTGCATGACATAAATCCCCGGTGTTCTTCATTTTACAGTGGTCGAGTGAAGTATTTTCAAAACGATGGAGCTCAAAAACTTTGTCAGAATTTTTATATGGGTTGTACAGAAATAGCAAAGACTCCGCGAATATAGCTTGAGGATCAAATGGTTCAATATTTTGTGTTAACGTGGCCGGATTTCGTTGGTCTGGATATCTTCAACATTCATTCAGAACGGATTAATGGTACAACTTATGTAACGTAGTTTTCAACCTGCGCGCTGGAATATCTTAGAGAAGAAAAAACTCGGCCTCAGGCTTTGTAGTCTGCTTAGACTGCACAGCCTGGGCCCGGCGACTTCCATTCGGACGTGGCTAACAGCTCGACGAAAATAGAGATGCATCTAACAGAAGTACCTTTGGTGGACTCAAAATTGTACATTTAGAGACATTACCGGCGTTTATTTCACCTGTGCGATTTTTAGATTGATGACAATAACGTATTGGTCTTTGCAGCACCGTGAAGTGGCACTGGAATCTGGTAGTGCAATCAGAAGAGTAAAGTCAAAATTTATCTTTGTTATGCTGCTATAACTGTTAATCTGTACAGAGGACATTTTCAAAATTGTAAAAAAGAGTCGCCCAGTGAAGGCTTCGGACTGTACGAATTCATTTTAAAAGGTGTTCAGAACCATTATTTTACTATGGTCATTGTTGCGCGCTTGGCGCCCGCCCCTGACGTTACTTGCAGCGGTCAACGCCGTTCGGTTTTGCGAAAACTGCGACCCTAGTCATCGCTATCCTTGCTCCCTGAGATTACGGCCGTGTGAGTAGGGCTTTATGATGCATTCAGCATTTGGTGCTATACGGCGCCGCCAGCCTCTCACCCTGGCGGGAAGGGCGGGCACCGCGGGGAACCGAACCCCTGGGAAACCTGTGGTTTCCCAGGCGCGCAGTGGTCAACGCACTGGCGCATGAACCACTACACAATTGGCCCCCGGCGCGCAGTGGTCAACGCGCTGGCGCGCATGAACCACTACACAATTGGCCCCCGGCGCGCAGTGGTCAACGCGCTGGCGCGCATGAACCACTACACAATTGGCCCCCGGGCGCGCATGCGTCAACGCACGGCGCATTGTGACCCACTACACAATTGGCCCCCGGCGCGCAGGTCAACGCACGCGCGCATGAACCACTACCCGATTGGCCCCCGGGCGCGTCAAGCATGAGCATTTTGATTCGCTATTTGTTTCGAATTGTCGATGCCTGCAAACCAATCAACGTGTTCAGGGAACATGGGATGGCCTTGTGCGATTTTGAACTTATTTTGAACCCAGTTCATTTAGCACTAATGAGGCCCACTTATCTATTTCGGCAGAGGGGTCCCCCTTGAGTACAACACTACGGGAACATTGTGTTCCACACGAGCTGAAGGGCCATTCTGTCCCACCGTGGTGTGTTTTCCGGCCGTCATTTTGTAAAAAGAAGTGGCATCCCCTGTTCGATCCGGAGGCCCTCAGAGGGATACATCACATCGCGTTGGATCGCTCCCTGACGCGGGAGGCCTTCTGACCCGCGTAGTTGACTCCGGATCGACGCATGGACCGTCATTAACACAACAACATCCCTGGCCATGGCAGGTGGTTAAATAATTGGCACATGGACTACAGTTGGGCTTAACGGGCGCGGCTCAAAAATGGTTGGAGGGCCGCCGCTCGGTACTGAGCGTGCTTGCTGGCACAGGGCTCTCCCATCACCTCAATGTGAGCACTCATCATAAGGTCTTGTTTCCTTCAATTGTCGGAGGGCCCGATCAACGCGAGAGATCCTCTGCCATTCGGGCTCCCGTCCCCGTCCCTGTTGAGCAAATCTTCCCCCGACCAGTTCGAAGCCTCTTGCTGACACAAAATGTCCTGTCAGGCACTGTGGGCCCCTGAACGCCACAGGAGCCGAAACGACGTAAACCGCGGGTTTGGTCTTGTCACTGCTTGGGAAATGAGCCCCAGAGCTCAGACCAGCACATACCTGACTATCCATTGTTCGTGATCTCTAGCTAAAATAGAGCAACGCTCTGTCTCAGGGGTCCCTATCGGTGCAAGAAATCCTCTTACTGATATTTGAGATCACGGCCCTATGGGCGGGGTCCTTAATGTGACCTACGGCCAGCACTCCGGACCCTTCAGCCATCTCATCGGCCCTTGATCTTTGGTCTCGAGAGACCCTTTGGCCTCTCTTGAGGTCCCCTCAAACACCGCTCCGGCCGGGGGTCAGTTATCGCCGCAGGATCCGTTTGGCACTGTGGCCCCTAACCGGCACAGGAGCCCCTTATCGTGTCAGGGACCTCCAACATGGCAAATTGAGGGATCCCGGCCTCGTTTCTGCTTGGGAAATGACTCAAGGGCTCAGACGGACATGGAGTCAACTGTTCGGTGTTCATGGTCTCTGACCGACTTACACACCCGTATTGTCTCAGGGGTCCCTAAAACTGTGCAAGATGACCTCTGATTGATATTTCAGGTCACGACCCCACGGGCCGCGTTTCTTTATGTGGCTCCGACTTTATAACTGATTGGGAAGTGCGTCCTCAGGCCCATACCGACACGGGGCAGAGACTATGTGGTACGGTAGTACCTGGCCAACACATAGGCCCATATCGACTCAGGAGGTCCCCGATCGGCGCAAAGAGCCCTCTGACCCTTATTTGAGGGTCCGTCTTTGCAGGTCTGGCCTCTGAATAAGCCCTTCGACCAGCCCTTTACGCCCTTAGACCCTCCAATCGGACCCTTGATCGTCGGACCGGGTGGGCGCTATAGGTTCTTGGGACCTCCTCGAGCACTGCTTTTGGCCAACTTGGTGCCCCTTGACAACACGGGGCTCCTGTTGGACGTTGTGGGGCCCCGAGCAATGTAAATTGTTGGCTCCGGCTTTGTCCCTGCTGGGGAAATGGGCCACAGGTCCATTCCACCAAGAAACTGACTGTCCGTTACTGGTCCACGACATAACGTTACCCATCCACGACATCCGTTACCTCCGTTACGTTACGTCCACGACATCCGTTACCTCCCCACGACATTACGTCACGACAACGTCCCCCACGACATTACAGCGACGTCACCACAATGTCCTCGGATGTCTCAACGGCATGGCATTCCAGCAATCGGGCACGGCTTGTACACGCCGTCGCCACGCCGTCCCCGCGTCTCTGCGAAATGACGTCGCAGTCACCTTAGCACTTGCCATTCTCGCAACTGAATTACGACGTACATTTGTTGGCCGGATTTCAAATGCTGCCTATGCACGCATGTCAAAGTTCGATTGGAGCGGCCAGGGTGTAACTCTGACTAGCAATGGCCATGACTATTGCAGCATTCACGGATGCTGTTGCACGCTCAGCAGGCGGCCTTCGAAAAAGTTATGTACTATTGTTAGCATTCTCCCCACTCCCGATTATTGACGACTGGCCTCGCCTTTGCCAGCGTGCCCATCCCCCCCTTGCCATGTGTCCTTGCCGCAGGGGGAGAAAACAGAGGGAGGGGGCGTGAAATGGGAGGGGGAGTTGTAGGCACTGGGGCGCCTCTTTCCTGTGATGACTCTAGGTGACGGGGCACACTACTGGCGTATAGACGGTGGGAAGAGCTTTTTCAACCGGCGGAGTCGCAGGAACATCGGATTGTGAGTGAAAGGTGGATAACGCTAGGCGATAAGGTCCACGCTTGCACCTCCGCTCCGCGGCGTTCGATGCGCAAGATTGAATCCAGTGGAATATTGGATCGCGCTCGGAGTTATGCATTCGAGGAAGCACATGTGAATCCTGCATTTGATCACATTAATTGTGTTATGTTCTGTGTAGCTGTTCGGACTCAAAAGAAGGCCATCAGGTATTTATCTTGTTGGCCATGCATTAACAGTTACTAGCCTTGTCACCACATTGTCTCCCTTGGGTAGCTATGCTGTATAATGTTTTACATTCATTTGTTTGGGATCAGTCTTTGCTGAGTACAGTGTGCTGCAAATTGTTAAGTAGATTTACTATTTGATGTTAGAATTTGAGTTCAACAAGTAATGTTTGAATTATTTAAGTGTGTCATTCAGTGATGCCTGTTCCGGCCACTCCTCTATGTTCCTTGAAGCTCCTCCAAACTAACCTGATTGTTCCTGTGGCTCCTGCAACCTCCTCCAACCTCCTCAAAGCTTGTGCTCATGTCATCCAACTTCCTCCAAAGTGAAGGTATTTTCCAGAGTAGTTTGGAGGAAGTTGTGGTATATATCAGTGGGCCAATATATTCATATGCTTCTCGGCTCCATGTGTTTTTGCAGAACAGAGATAACACACTGGTGTCAAGGTTGTTGTGGACAGTGTATATTCTAGGCCATTAGTTTAGTTGTGTTATATGATTAAATATAAAATCATAACATCTAGGTTATTTGAGTTTAGTGCCATAAACCATGGCTTAACTATGCAGAGTTTGTTGATATGTTTCAAAATGGTAGCAGATTGATTTCAGTTCTCATCTGATCTCCTCCAAACTAATCTCATTTTTTAAGAAGTGAGGGGAATGGAACTGTAGTAATTTTCCATCCCAAATCCCAATGCTTCAGCCGGTTTGACTACTTGCCTCCTGGCTCACCTGTCTGTGGTACGGTGGGTTGAGTTACTACATGCCCTCTTTTTACATTTGGCTTGCATGGCCTGTGGCCAGTGGCAGACCCAAAAGTTATGTGACTGAACGCCAAGGGCAGGATAGGACGGACCATGCCAAGGATGACCACATTTAACATTGACCTCCAAATTTTGTCATTAATGTGGAGTTTCATCATCAGATGAAAGGGATCAGGGTTCATGTAACAAGCACTACATAGTATGAACTTGATCCCTAAAATTCATTCTTAGTGTGGACTCTAACCCCTGAAATCCATCCTTTCAAAATGTTTGGGCAAAATATGGTGTGAATGTTTTGGCATTGCATGCTACCACTAAAAATCAAGCCACATGATCAGATTTGGTGCAGTATTCCATGTACCTGCTGTGCATCTGTCAATCACTGATTCTGTCCGATATGAGCTACATGTGTTGGGTGACTGATATTGCCCTTTCTCTTCAGGGTGCATGTCAATTGCCCAAACATTTGATGTCATTACATGCTTTTGCAAGTTACCTGAAGCTCTCTGAGTTTAATATTTTGAATGTATAGTACCCTTACATATTTAATGAAGCAGAGTAAAAAGTAGTGGTAGAACTAGCTGAAATTCATGTATTTGGTGTCATATAGGTGTGCAAGGCCAGTAAAATCAAACTAGTAAGGAAAAAGCACACAATAATCCCTTTAACTCACGCACTTTGTAGCACAAATGCCTGATCCATGGTTCTCTTAAACCTGGAATGGAAAGTTGAAAGATGTCAGTATTTCCATTCTCTTAAAAAACTGGGCTTGGTCGTGGTGACCAGGTCAAATGCAAGGTGTATTCTAGAAGAATGTCTGAAGGCCTATTTGTTTGCTCATTCTGTGTTGGTTTTGCATTTGGCCCAGTCATAATCCTGATGTACTGGGTTTCTTATAGCACAATGAACTAATGTGCCAACAAACATAAAAATATGTCAGACACTTCCAGGTTGATGTGTCGCTTTTGTTATACTGCAGTTTTTGTTGTGTTATACTGGCTTGATGTGGAGTAGCAATGTAAAATATGAGAATGAGTAAATGTCAGTGTGACAAGGACTTTCTGGAAGGCAATTTCAAAGAAGCTTCATAGGGGAATAACATGATCCTGTCAGTAAGATAAGTGGTTGTTGAATAAATCACGTAAATAACAATGGTAATAGCCTTATTTTCAGATAAAAACTGGGAGACTGGAGATATAGATGTGTTGATATTTCAGCAAAATGCCTTCATTCAAACAATAACAGAAGACTATCAACAAGCAACACAGATATAAGGCTATTGCTACCATATTATATATGTGAAAAAGATTCCCTGCAAAGGCATGTAACAGCTTCCATGGTCACCTGAATTGAAAAAAATTGGCTTCCTGCTTTTTGGTTTGTTAGTTGTGTTTTGAGGCATTCAGATAACCATGAGGGAAAATGATCCCCAATTTAGGGCATTGGTGGTAATTCAAGGTTGTATAATGTGGGAGATAATCATGAGTAAGATTGCAGTATAGTGGTTGGTGCTCCTAGCATGGAAAATGTTTTGACTAAAAACTGGCTTAAAGAGAATCTACAGAAGTATGTCTGAGGCAAGTACAAAAGAGACCATTAATTGTTATGACCCAGGCAAGCAGCAGTTTGAAACCAGGTGTTTTGGGCTGTTGCAGCATGAATGTACCTGTACCTCTGTTACATTGGTGCTGGAGTACCTCATGTACATCATGTACATCACACATGTTATGTACCTCAGGTAGTAGGGTGATAAACTTAATACTGATAATCAAGGATGTTTTAAACACTTGTTTAGTAAGGTGACTCTTAAGAAGAAACTTTTTCCTTAGTTTTTAGAGTTTTTAGCTGGAGTACGGGGGTCGGTGGATTTTGTAACTCATTCGCAATGTCAGCCATGAGAACAGGTTGTTGTTAGGGGTGATGCAAATGTGATCCAAACTGATGTTTCTGGACTAAAAGGCCTCTTTGTAACTCCTTGTGTCTACAGTCTTGGTGCTTAGATTCAGCATGGGTACAATAAGTTGTCACACACCCAAGGGTGCTCAAATGCTTTGCACATCTAGCCCAATAGAGCAGGACATTGCCACATGGCCTTTTTTGACATCTTTGTCATGACCATCTTAGTAAAATGTGCATACCCCTGGACATTGATAGGTTATGCATAGTCTTTTAAGTGGGGAATCCACAAAAGGACACACTATCCTCTGTGCCTCATCCCACCTCTGATTGAAAAGTATTTCAGTAAAAAGTTGTTGGTTTTAAGATGTGCTACAGCACCCACTTGTGGAACTGTTTCTGGTGCAGTACAGCCTTTCAATCTGCGACAATTTACCTTGGTTGACACCCCATCTAAGTTGATGACATGTTTTTTTTTCTTATTTCAGGGGTGGACATGGCAGGCCTTTCGATAACGTCGCTGGGTCGCGGCCAGTGCTGTATGCTGTGCTGCAATCAGCTGTACTCGACGGGGTTCAACATCTACCAGGCCCGCACTTACCATGGAGAGAAGAGCTTCTACGCTAAGCTGTTGGAACTGACAAATGTACGTGGCTTGCGTTCACTTTACTGTATTTGTGTGCAATGATTGGGTGCGAGGGAGTGTTTCATATTCATGAGGGATTTTGAACCGAGATAACCATTTTGGAGATCATTCAGCACACTTCACGGGCCTGCCCTCTTTACGACTTAAAACCTCCAGATTCTGATCTTGATGCTCATAAACGGATGCACACCATCTTGTGTGCAGACTTTTTGAAGGTTTCTCAGGCATGCATGATACCGTTGAAACGCCACGCGAACACTGCCATCTCATTTGCCATTTAGTGCTTAACGCCAACCACAAACACGATTATCGAGCCATCCATGGCTGGCGTGTCAGCACAATTTCTCGCATGAACAGACTTTAACTGACCCTGAGCCAGCGTAAGGCGTTGAGTGCAAAAGTGGAACATGAGACACGTTTCGTTTAACGTTTAGCACGGGAAGTTGGATGGTGGTACGAGTTGTGACGGGAATAAGACCGGGAATCGAATAACTTAAGAGTATGACCATAACCATGTACATGAATTCAAGTGCAGTACAAAATCGCGGACAAACATACAGAAGCACCGCGAGGAACGGTCAAAACACGAGCACATGATGGTATTGGCTACGCAAACACGCTCCAGTAACACACTGTCACCTATTGGCAAGTTGAGGTATTACAAGTCGGTCAGCCCGTCCGCTGCAGGGGCAATTCTGACGCGTGGAGTGACGGCCAGGCTAGTAACGATAAAGACGTTGCATGACATAATAAAATAATAACGTATTGAGCAACACACTTGCTAAATAATAAAACTTGTTCTCTGGAGCAGTCTATAACACTTAAAAGGAATGCTTCACATTCGAAGATATCGAAGCAAGCATCAGACGTCATGAACTGAGTTCACCGATAGCCATTAGTATAGTTTCACAGAGTGTTCTACATTTCTAAGGGGTTTGAACTGAAATAGCCATCTTGATGATCATTCGGTGTAGTTAACAGACCTGCCCTTTTTGAAACATAAACCTATCTAGTTTCTGAGGTACACGCCCGCGAGACGTGGAGGCCGTTCTGCACAGTATTTCAAGGTCATTTTGGTATTTATGACGTCATGATAACGTCGTTTAGATCCTGCCATTTCTTAAGCCATGCGACGATCGAGGTTAACGAAAATATATTGGTCAAGCGGTTCATACCATGCGTCCGTGAGCACGGATTCAAGATATAACGGCCGCCCTTGGTTCTCAATCAAGGTTGTGCGAGGTACGGTAACGTAATCAAACTATATCGTATCGAGGAGCCTAGCTGATAAACAGCTAAAATATGTTGTCGAGAGCAGTCTTTTCAACTTAAAGCATGCCACTAGTTTTGAGTTTGTTCGATCATGTCTGATACTTGCTGCAATATCTTCAAATGCGAAACATTCCCCCATGTAGAAAGGGCTGCTGTAGACAAAACAATTTCTCCGTTTAGTTAACATGTTTCTTATTACGCCATTGTTTGATAACGTCATCGTGCCTTGCACGGGATTGATTGAGAGTCGATTGGCGACCGTTATGTGTGGAAGTCGTGCTTACGATCGCCAAACATGAACGACTCGACAACTATATTGGTATTGGCCTTGATCGCCGCGCGGCCAATGGAATGACAAGAATTAAATGACGCTACAATGGCGTCATGGATATCAGGGTGATCTTGAAAGCCTTCCCGGAAAAATTTGCACATTGTCGTGGCATGTAGCTCAGAAACTAGGAGGGCTGTGGTCTTGAGAACGGCGGGGCTGTGAACTGCATCAATAATCTTCAAGATCGCTATTTCAGTTCGAACCTCCTTACGAATGTAGAGTACTCCCCGTCGGGTTATAAGCGAGCTTATTTCCTCACTTCTGATTTTTACCTTAATATCTTCAAATGTGGAGCATTTCCTTTAGCCAGATTAATTCGGCTGGAAGTCTTGGGATGGGCATGCGTTAGCTATGTTGGTAGATCACTAATCTTCGCCTCCAACCAACCGAATCGAATTGCTGATGTTGGCAGTTATCAGTTTCTATGATGACCACAACGAGGTTATTTGACGAAGTATTCCAAAAATGGAAAACTTCCGTTCCATCACCCTCCCCCGCCTCTATTGTATATGACAGCTGTCTTCAATATATATGTTTTCTTCAGTACTTTGCATTCAGCCGGTCCATCCTCGCGTCTTAGTCAGTGTGTGCAGCTCGCATGTAAACTGTAAGCTGTATTTATCCAGGGAGTTATTACCATGTTGTGCTAGTGTTATAGCAATGTTGGCTGCTCGTGTGCAGGGCAGGGCGGGGCGTCACCACGCCATCCCCGCTGTGTCGGCAGTATACGGCCAGCATGCCGCAGCTGGTGAGCGACTCACTCTGCAGCGTCTGCGCCACGATGGTCTCCCAAGTGGACCAGCTGGAGTACCAGCTGAGCCACGTCATCTCGCAGATCCGCGCGCTCTTCCACAAGATGGTGCAGTCGCAGACGGAGGTGGCCGCCGCCCGGCCGGGCCGCGGCTCGCTCGGCCCGCAAGGTAGCGCTCGCCGTCGGTGACCGAGCTGGCCCGCTGCGCCTGCCGGCCGGATGGCTCATGGTCATCGTGCCACTGCTGAACGCTGATATAACCATATGTGTGGCGGTTGAATATCGGCTAATACCAATATCATTATTTTGTCGCGCGTTTTAAGAGATGTGAACTTGCTGCAGTGCAGCGTCGCCATCATCGAACATGCTTCCTCTAGTGGGTGAGGAGCCACTAGAGTTGCGTTGTTTGGGGCCACTGTGATCGTCTGCTGTGCCTCGCCGTTCCCCATGGTCCGCGATAGCCAATCAGCGTGGGACACGTCACTCCACTGGTGTGCTTGTCAGGCCTGCCGGGCGGCGCGGCACGGACATCGTCCACCGAGGTGTCGTCGGCCTCTAGCGCGTACCTGCCCGAGGTCAAGTCAGAACCTAGCACAGACCCACCACCACACGCGTCCCCGTACTACGCCAAGAAGCCGCCGAAGGAGGTATGACCGCTGACGTCAGCTCGTGGGCCACGCACCTTGATGGAAATGGCAATCTGGGAACGGAGAGGGAACGGGAGAGAAAGAATCCGATTGCATGTGTGATATGGCATGACAGTACGTAAATGAAGGTCGTGTGTTTTCTGTCGCAGTTACACCCCGCCTGTGGTCCTACCCTCCTCAAGGTCAAGACCGAACACCTGAGGATGCCGCACACCCGCGCCTTCTCCTTCTTTACCAGGAACCGTCCATGGAAGGTGGGGCCACGTGGCCAGATCGACTACTGGATTATGTCCTTGAATCAACCCTTCTGTCCCATTGCCACTTTCAGACCTGGTAAGGCAAAGGTACTGCGTGGATATAGCAAGCTGAAGCTGGCGTCATGAATGGTTGGCTTTAAGTCACCAGTTACAAAACCATGTTGACACACAGCTGGGTTTTCTTGATCTATTGCCTGGGGTATAGTTTTGTTGATTTTTGTTAGGTTTGGTTGATCCGCAACATGTTTTTTTTTTAATTAACGCATTTGTGCGGGAAGCTACAGCCTGGAAGTGATAAGGTATTGCATAACCGTCATCGCCATTCACACACATCAGTGAGCATGAATGTTTATGGCCACATGTATCTGGGCTGTGAAACCTTATATCTTTATTGTGTCTGGGGTGCATCCAGAGCACACACATAAGACATCGAGATTTCGTGTCAGTGGTCAAAGCGTCTTCATTGATAGGTGGTTTCCACGATTATATTGATGATTATCAAGTTATATGGATTTCAGACAGCATAGCTTGTTTCCACGATTATATTGATGATTAGCAAGTTATATGGGTTTCAAACAGCATGAAATGCTGATGTTTAAAATCATGTTGACTGCGCAAAGTTATGTTAGAGATCATGTCATGTTAGAAATTATGCACAGAGTATAATTAACTCCATATTTTTGGATGTGTCCAGAATACAAATCAACCCCAAACTATACACGTCATGATTTGTTTTGAATGACTATCAAGTAGTCAGTGTCATATATGATAAAGCTTAACCCTATTACGAGTTTATTGTACTACAAATCGGTGATTGCTGTAGAACATCGGTTAACTAGTGACACCTGGTATATAGGAGGTCAGTTATTTTTAACATGATGACTTATTGCTCAGAAACCAGTTGTGCAATATTATGAAATATTACGATATGTCGCCGCTATCGTCATGAAACGCATCCAGATCGCGGCGAAATGTCAGTGTAGGCAGGTTGGGTGCGATTATACGCCGACTCCATACTATTTCGCGGCTCCGCTCCCGTAGAAATAATGTTCATTGGGTACGACTGTGCGTGCCGCGCCGTGGCTGGCTGCCCGCGTCCAAGCCTCCGTCGCTGGGCTGTTCCAGAACGGCACTCCGTCGGCGACGACAACCCGTCGTCCATCCTGGACGCCTGGCCTGCCTGCGCCGCCGGCCGAGGCGCCGGCGCCGCTGGTCAGCGCCGCCGCCGGCGCCGGCCAGCCCGACGACGGCCTGTTCAACATCGGCGCCTTCCTGCAGACCGACCTGCGGGAGCCGGCCGCCGCCGCCGCTGCCGCCGCAGCCGCCGTCCACTCAGCCGCCGCCGCCGCCGCCGCTGCCGCCGCCGTCTCCTCCGCCGGCGACTTCACCGACAAGTTCGTGCGCACCGTCGATTCGGAGGACGCGTACCGCTTCCAGTGCGTGCTGTGCAGTAAGCTGGGCGACTCCGCCGAGGTGATCCGGCGCCACGTGCGCGCCGACCACCCGGGCGCCGACCGCATCAGCTTCCCCGGCGCGGCGCCAGCCAAGCGCGCCAAGCCGTCGGCCGGTGCGGTCAAGCCCGCCGCCAGCAAGGTGCCCCGCTCCATAACGGCCAGCTCGCCGGCCATGGCGCAGAAGATCGCCGAGCGCGCATACGTGTGCGCCGGCTGCGACAAGGCGTTCGGCTGCGAGGCGTTCCTGACGCGCCACGTGACGGCGCAGCACTGCGGCCGCATGTTCAGCTGCCAGTACTGCGGCAAGGAGTTCAGCCGCAGCGACAAGAAGGTGCGCCACGAGCGCTCGCACACGGGCGAGCGGCCCTTCAGCTGCGGCTTCTGCGGCAAGGCGTTCTCGCGGCGCGACAAGTGCACCTACCACGAGAAGAGCCACACGCGCCACCGGCCGTTCGAGTGCCAGCGCTGCGGCGAGGTGATGTTCTCGGCCGGCGCGTACGCCACGCACCGCCAGAGCTGCTCGGACGAAGTGCAGGGAACCGGGTCGCTGTGGCACGCGCAGATGCGGCCGGCCTCGGCGGCGCCCCCGGCCGCCGCCGCCGCCGAGGCCGGCGACCCGTGAGCGGCGCCGGCCGCCGCTAACGCGCCGACGCCGGCGGGCGAGGGCACGGCGCGTGGCCCCACGGCCCCGTTCAGCCCGTGACGCGGCGGTGCAGGGCCGGGACGCGTCGGGGATGGACGCCCAGCGGCGCCGTCTCCGCCCGCTACGATGCCGCCCAGGCTCGGTGGGACACCCGTGAAGGGTCTCGTGGGTGCACTGACGTGTTGTCGCCCGTCGGAGCTGTTCGAGATATGGACACTGCTGTTCACTGGCCAACGCGCGCGGAAATTCCGACACTTGTGTTAAGGTAGGGATGCACTTGGTTTTAGTGCGTGCTCCTGCGATCACACGAGCTATACAAGTGTCCAGACCGACTGGATAACTTGTTTTAGTACAATTGTTGTATTGCAGATCCTTTCTTCCAGCAAGGCTTTACAACGGCGTGACAAAGGCTGTTTGATTTGTGCTCTAGTACCTGATGCGTGATTTCGTTCTGTGACATTTGGAATGCTGATTTTCGTTAGGTCGTGCTGCTATGAGTTGTCATGACCAACCAAGCCTGTGCCATTGGGCGGCATGTTACTGCCTGGATGAGGTGGTTTACTGAAGCCGAGCAGAAGAATGAGGTGAAAGGCCCATGCGGGCTGGATATCTTAAACCGAGGTGATCCGTCAGTTGTGGGCGTACCGTCTTTGAGTTGAGCTGAAAATATTTTTAACTGAAAACGTTTTAGCCGGTTTTTAACGAGCGTTCCCGTTGATTAGCCAATATCCGAAAATATCACGCGTCCCTGAGGCAAAACGTGCTCACATCATCCGCTTATAAACCAGCACGCTGTCACGTTGCTTGATGATACGTCATGTATCCGTGCGAATGCAACGGTGTGCATATGTTAGTGTGTGTGTGTGTGTGTTTGTGCGTGTGCGTGTTCATGATCGTTCATCCCTTTTCGGTGATCGAGGAACGTGGTCCTGCCGGGTTTTCTCTCGATGGGCGGGGAGTTGGCGCACGTGTTACATGTCATCCTTGATTTCTCCCATGCGGCCGTCGTGCTGGGAGATTGCCTTGTGCCTACGTTCATAAGACGAAGGTATGATACCATGCACTTTTTAATCATTCTGTGTAAGCATGTGTGCCAAAACTAGGTTGCTCTTACTTCAGATCTCGTTTCTCGAGTCATTCATGAACAGCTCGCGCGAATGAAGCTGGCGTTCGTGGCACATATGTTCGTATGGCGTCACTGAAAACGGTGTGTGTTCGTAGTTTGCTTTATGGGTTCAGCCTTCGTTCACCCATTAATGCTTTTTTCTTTGACGCTATGCAACATCGCACCTGTATTAGTTCATGAATGTTAATAATTCACGCGGCCGTTTCCAGCAAGCGCAGCCCTCCCATGTTTTCCAGCGTTTCGTGACTTGATTGGTCACACTTGATTGAAGATTGGTCACATCGCGCCTGCGAGCTGTCAGTGCTGCGAACCTGTCCGATCCACAGATAGAAGGACGCAGAAGCGGTCCTGTGCCACGCGATAATTTTAGAGATGTGCCATTGCTTTCGTTTGCAGGACGTAGGTTCTGTTCAGTCTTTCTGGTTTTGTATTTTATTGTGAATAAAGACTATGCATTTCTGCTGTGTGTATCTGATGAATCTTGAGGCGTACGGTGGGCTGGCTAGACGGACGGCAGATCGTCAGGATTGATTAACGAGGTCGTGACTTCATCGATGGGAGGAATTCACGTTTCCCGCGGTGAACCCTGCAACTTGGTTCCCTCACAAAATGTCCCCGGATCTCGGCCATCTTATTTTGATAGTCATGTTTTTAATTCGGGGAACTACCCTCCTTTGTGCATCGTTGAGGGTTGGGCAAGTAGGTAGGTGCGTGGAACATGTCCATTTTCTCCAGCGGCTGGGGGATCCCACCACTGCGACCTCAGTATTTCAGAGAACATCTGGCGAAATGAGAAAAGTTGCCGAAGTCGGGCACGATTGCTCATTTGCTTTACATCAACGTGATGAAAGGCTGACTATCGTTAAGTTAGGTACGCGAAGCCAGCGGTAAGTCGTGTTTTGTAGCTTGCTGGCCAGGGAATGGTTTGATGTGAATGATGCTTGTTAAGTGGAAAAGACTTATCTGGGCAACACAATTTCTGCACTCAGTAAACGTGCCACTCAAGCAGTTACTGTTTGATTGCGTCATGGAACGTTTGTATGCCGATATTTACTGCTCACTCACTTGTGATTATTCAGTCCGTTGAGAGGTGACAGCATGGGCTGGAAGTGGTCGCCGAGGCATATCGTTAAGTGCTTTTGTTTTGGCCCTTGCTTCTGCTGTTCTTGCATATGTATCCGTGGGTTTATGACATGTTTACTTGTGTTCACAAACTTGGTTGTAGCGTTTTTCTAAAGCTGTTCTATTACAGGTCATTTCTGTGATATCTAGGAAGAACGTGTAACTTTCCGACCCTCTGATCCTCTATTTTGCTCCATCCTGCATCCTCGCGAGATCCCGCTTCTCCGGGGCAGGCCGTATGCGTCAGCTACAAGTGGATCGAGAATCCCGTGGGAAAGGAAACCCCGACCGGGTACCCAGCGCACATGCGCGAGTTAAAGCTCACGGCTGGTCCCCCAAGCGCATGCAAGTCTGCCTCACCGTTACCATTTTCCTTCATCCCATAGCCGTGAAATGATCATTTTTGGTCAAGAGGGTTCTAACCTAAACAACCAACCAGCCAACAGAGGCGCCACATACGCGGTTGCCAACCCGTGGGCATCGGTAGCATCACTGCGGCACCAGGTGTGCCGACGTCCACCCCACGGCATTGTCAGATATCGCGCCTCTAGACGACCGCCCCGGAATCCGGCACAACAGCGGGTGGGCCTTACGGCACTTTTCCCACAAACGTCAGGTAGAACGACAGCCCCGCTCATGCTTGGCGTGGGGCGGCGGAATCACCCGGGCGGGCGGCGGCGCCGCGGCAGTCGCCCCCAGCGGTGGGCCCACGCTCCAGCCTTTCCGAAAGGATGTCGCCAAACACGTCGCGTACGACTGCGGTCGACCCCCGCAGAGTTCTAGAGCCCCAGGGAGACAGGTAGATGACGGCCTCACCATCACTCGGTGTGAGCACGGCAGACCGTCCGCGGCAGCGGTCGTGGAGGTGGGTGACGGGGTAATTTTCTTGCAATTTCCCCATGCAGATAACTCCAACTGGAATGAGTGACCACTGAAGTACAATCAATTGATGTTTCAGGATTTCTGACTGATGGCTGATTGCTTGCAACGCTTACTGCTGGTATTACCTCATCTCGTAAACCCATTTAAAATCGGTTCTACCTTTTTTGTCCGCGATTTTGCACAGCGATCTCAGCCAATGCTCTGCAGTGGCTTTGTCAGAGCGAGTCCGTTTCCTGACTGCATCGATATGGCGGCTGGCTTAACGTGCTAGCAACCGGACCACCCATCGTCCTGATTGGCCAAATAGGGAAGTGTACAAGCAGCGTAATCGCCAATCCCCGAGTGATGACGGCACCGGGTCGTGGCGCCATTCAAGAAGTGCTACACCCACCAAGTGTGGGGTGGCAATTGAAAGGAGCTCTGCTGAAGTCAACATTTGGCGAGCGTTCAGGAACGAATCCCTCGGACACTCCGACCGACGGTGCGGGCGAGGGTAGAGGCAGCGGCAGTGTGCCGCCATTCACCGAGCGGCTAAGATGTCCGCGAGGAACGGGTCTGCCAGTTCTCTCGCATGGGGTCTCGCGTACGTGCGTCAGGGGCCGCAAAATCGGCACTGCCGCATCGCCTTGCCAGAAAACATCGGAGTGGTCGTGTAGATGTGTATATTCATATCTAACCGTTCGCCACCCACTCGCACGAGACGCGGCAGTTTCCGGGCCAGGTTCACGTGATCCCTCAGTACACCGTCTCAAATCATTTGCATCCGACACGCAGCCCGTGGCCCTACACGACCACCCCAGATTCGCGCCGCTAACCGGGCCGGGTTCGGGGACGGCGCCGGGGCCTGGCGGGGCCGCCGCCGGCCCACCCGGTCAGCGAGCAGAGCACCCCCAGCGTCCGGCCTCCCATCCGTGCTGCGCCGCTTAGAACGCGAACAGCAGCAGGAACGCCATCATCAAGCAGAACAGACCCATGGCCTCGGACAGGGCGAATCCCAGGATGGCGTACGAGAAGAGCTGCTGCTTCAGCGAGGGGTTCCGCGCGTAGCCGATGATGAGCGAGCCGAAGACGGAGCCGATGCCGGCGCCAGAGCCGGCCGAGCCGACCGTGGCGGCGCCGGCACCGATGAACTTGGCGGCCGAGTCGATGTCGCGGGAGACGGCCGACGTCTGCAGGGACCGGTACGGCACCACCGCCTGGCTGGAGGCGGGCGCGGCCGCCGCCGGACTGACGGGAGCCACCGCCACCGAGCTCAGCGGCCGCAGCAGCTGCCGGCACCACACGGCACGGTCAGGGCGATCGCGGACACGACCACGGCCGAGACGCACGCAGGTCAGGCCATCACTGTTGACGTGCAATGCAATAAGCTAAAAACATGTTACTGCAGACACTTCATAATGCAAAACACAACTGATGTGTGCACCAGACTCCTGCCACCCAAAGTATATATTTGGATGCTGCAGCACCAATGACACAATCATGACCAATCATTCCACACTCCTGGCACCAGGCAAAAAGCTTCACAAATAGCAGGACAGGCCATGGTCAGGGACAACCAAGCTTCAGCTGCATTCGCTGTAACATATCTCTTGCAGAACATGGAACTGCTCTTAATGATCAAACAAAAAATCATGGAACCTCAGAATCAAACATATTTTACATGGAGAGGAGTGCTCGTGTGCTTACCACGGTCCGGGTCGCCGGGAGAACGAATCTGGAGCAGGCATACATGATTTTGTGGCTTGGAGGGATGTGGTGTCAATCAAAAAAGCTCCTGCAATAAATAGAGTTGTTAAACAGGATTTAAATCACATATACCTGAAACCTTCAGTTCACTGTGTCATGACCAGAGCACCAAAAGAATAAAAACCAGGTCTATGGTTCCAAAAAGC